CCTCGGCGACACACGCATCGCACAGCTCGTCGGCCAGCGTTTTCCCAGAGGGCGCCATGTGTCGGATAACAACAGCTTGCCCTGCAATGCGCAGTGCTTTTTGTGTCTGATGGTTTTCGTGGTCCAAGAGTGGATTCGATCCGCTTCCGGCGTCCGCTCGTGCCAAAGACTCGGGCGCCCCCGTGGCGCCTTGCAATTTTCGTCGCGCGCGCGGCCAGTGAACCCTGTCATATGCATTGATATGAATAACATTTGCCCCAACCAATCGTCGGCCGCGCCCATCAACTGCGCGCAACCAATCGGTTCTTCAGACCGACTGGTCTACCCATGAGATGACATCATTGGCGATATAGCAACACGCTGTTCACTTAAATATTGGATCAGCTGCGTCTTCGCGCGCCTATGGCCCTTCCGCGGCGCCGCGCTGCCGGCGCGCTGCGGCTGGGGGGCCCGCGCCGGCGAGGGGGGGGGGGGCGCGGGGGGGCGCGGGGGAAGGAGACGTGGAGTGAAGGGGCCTGCCGCGGCGTCGCGCGGCTACCCCGGCAGCGCCCCGCCACGTTGAACTGCGGGAACCCGAACACTTATTTCCAGCATCCCCAATCTGCGCGCACCCTCACGAGCGCGGGCTCGTAGCCTAGATCAGCACCTGCCTTCTCGCCCCTGCGAAAGTTTGACTTCAGCCAAGCTCTGCCGCCGCGGCGGGCTGCGGGGTACCCACCTGCTACCATGAGCAGAAATCTTCAAGACATCCATCTTGAAGACATCGCGCTTCTCATGTCGTGCCACGCGTTCGTGCTCGTGGGGGCCTTCGTCAGCCCAGCGATGAGCATGCGTAGCTTGTGCGCCTCCATCGCCCTGGGCAAACCTGGCAAATTTAAGCGCGCCGTCTCTACAGACTGGTCGCGGCCCCACTGGCGCGGGGCGCCGTCGGCCCGCAGACCTGCGGGAATCGCCGAACCGACTTGCATTGCCGAGAGGCAGCGTTGCGCGCGACTCTTCCCAACTTTATCCAGGCCGCTGGTGTCTTCCAGTTTTTCCAACGCGCCGCGTTGCGCCAGTTGGGCAGCAAAGAATTCGCGCGGCAAGCCGAAAGCGACGCGCTCCTTCTGCTCGCAGCTGCGCCTCCTGTTCCAACAACGGGCCTCTGCGAAGTACGTCCTGCGCCACAAACTGCCTCGAAGAAATCGCCTCCGCAGCCTCCTGGATACATTGCCGCTGACGTTTGCCCACTTGCCTTGCTGACGTCCTTCGCGACCGCTCCTGGGCGGCTGGTCAAGTCGCCGACTCCTCGGTGGCCTCCCGCGCGGGCCTCGCCCAGGAGCGACTGGACTTGGGCGTGGGCGAGGGTGTTGGTCGCCGCCGGCGTGCCCACGTTTGCCCTCGACCTCCTGACGTGAGGAAGAGACGCAGTATCATAATGGCAGTCGCGTTTGCCGAGCATCTCTGCCCACTGAGAATCTGGGAGCCCCGAGGCGAAAATCCACGGCGGAAGAAGTCGCTGACGACGGGCCGACATCGGTGGCCCTCCTGCGCAGGAGGGCAAACGAGAACGCGGGTGTGATATTATTTAAAAAGCGCAGCGGCAGCAACATCGCAATTCAGACATGCGGTTGCACCAATAAAGCCAGCGAAAGGCCACCAGGCTATGCAGTAACACGTCTATGGATAACACCTCCTTGATCCATCGTCCTCCTGTTGCTCCTCCCCCATCATTCCCCTTCTCCTCCCTTCTCCTCCTTCGCCCCTCCTATATGCGCGTGCCAGAACCTGGCGCGAGCTCGAGGAGCTCGGAATACTTCGCGCATGCGTGATTTCGACCCTGTCAGGTGGCGTTCGAGCGTGTCTTTCGCGTCGGCAAGCTGCCTCTGGAGAGCGGGCAGCTCCTTCGAGCCCGCGGCGCGCGCCTGCTCTGCCGCGGCGATATTGCAGCGGCACTCGTCCGCGAGGTTACCCTGGACATTGATGATGCGCTCGATCTCTTGTGAGTAATCCGACCACGGCCTCTTCTCATTGCCCCCCTGGGAAACCCTGCACTTCGCCGTCAACTGGCCCCCGCGCTCGCGCAACGACGCCTGGGGCTTATGCAGCCCAGGCAGACCATTCCTGGAACGGAAAAAAACAAAGCGCTCGATTATACCCCCCACCCACGCCGCCCCCGCCGCCGCGTCTGGCCCAGGGGGGCGGCGGAACGGGGGGGCGGGGGCGATTGTGCCCCCCCCCTTGGGTCTTGAAATTCTCCGCCGCCTCCTCAACCTCGGGGATCAGCGGGCGCGCGTCCGCAACCTCCACTTTCGACTCGGACGACGCTGCTGGCAGTCCCGATGGTGCGCCCATTGCGTCGCGCACGCTCGCGAGGTGCGAGCCGCTCCTCACATCTGCGCCGCCAGGGATCGTCTTATGCGTCCATCTCTTATTGTGCCCTTCGTCCTCGACAAAAGAAATGCCTGGTCAACTCCTCATTCGTGTCATGAGTGGCGGGTGGATGCTTCTCCTTGGCGTCGAACTCTGTCGCGTCCTCTTCGTGCAAGCCGATTGCAAATTTGGTCGCTTTCTTGCGCGCGTCGAGATCAGTGATGAGATAACATGGCCCTTCAGCATGAGAATCTGTGCTGGGGCAGGGGGCGTGTCCCTGTTCGAAAACTCCTCCTCTTGAACGCGGCCGCGAGACTGTCCAAAGTGAACGGCGGACCTCAAGATGCACGCAGCATTGCCGCGCCCGTTGTCCTCCCACATTTCCAAGAGGCGTTTCTGATCCCCTTGGTTCAAAAGCTTGCCCCACTGCGCCGGGCATTCCTTGGCGGCTCTCCTTTTGTCATCGTCGCTACATGTGCTGCTGTGCTGCACCGCGAGGAAGTGAGCATCCGGCTCAACTCCCCGCGGTCGAGGGCGGCGCACTTGGGCTGGGCCCTCGCCTTCTTGTCGGGGGCGCAAACGGTCGCGGCGACGCTGATGACGGCCGCTGGCATACAGCGCGGCGCGCGCTCCAGGAGGGCGAGGAATTGCGAGCGCACCGCTGCTCGCAAGCTCAGCGAGGAGGGCGCTCGATCAGGAAAGCTAAACAACCAGGGGCGCTGGAGCCGAAAAGACAACAAAAGTGCTGGATGGGAGGCCGCGGCGTTGCACGTCGTCGAATTCCTCTGTCAAATGGCAAAACAATGCCAAAACGGAAAAATGTGAATCCTTATCCTTCTTCTCCCTCCTGTGATCCTCTTCCCCCTACATCCCCCTCGTCCTCGGGCGCCCTCCTGTGCAGGGGGGCGGAAAATTATCCGATTGCGTTTTTACGTCACACTGGATGCGCGCGCCGACGTCGGCCCGCGGGCGCACGGTTGCTCGAGGAGAGACAGCGAACGCCGCGGGGATTATTCTGCGAGCTGCAAGAATCAGATGGATCAGAATGACATATCATCAGAACTGCAATGAGATTGTAAAACTTGCCTGGCACATCGAACTACACTAATAATTTTAAACGGGATGCTTCCGGAGCAGCGCCAGCACCTCCTGCTCGGCGGTTAGGCGGCTCGTCGGCTGCAATTGCTCGGGGCATTTACTTGGGAGAACAGTTATGCGCATATTACGCGCGCGATCTATTACGACGCATTTCAAGCATCCGCCACTGCTGACGCCGCAGCCCACGCACGCTGCGCGCGCGCTGCGCGCGGCGCGCCACGAACATGCGCGTTACGCGCGTGTTCAAATGAGGTTCGTCACACGCCGTCTCCGCGTGCGAATCGCGCCCGCGCAATTGCCCGGTGCATGATCTAAACATAGCAAACACATTCCAAATGCTCATATATTGCGTCAGAACGCGGGAACGTTGCGATCGCCTGCCACTGGGGAGTCATGCCTGAACAGATGTGGCCGTTTAAGGTGGAGCACGCAGCACGAATCATAGTGCACGCCTCGCGTTTACATTTTATGCGCACAACAAGAAACAATTGTTTTGCTGATTCTCCTTAAGCCAAGAAGACACTTGCGAACGCACATTTTCCAATTTTTGGGTCCGACGAAAATTGGTCCATAGGCTTCGCCCAGCACAGCTGCGGCGCGCGACCAGCTCGGCCCCAACTTTGGCATGCCACCTACCACCGCGTAAACGCTCGTCTTTACTGCCAGCCAGGCTTGCCTTTCCTGGCTGCCTGCGAGTGGCCGTGCAAGGTGTTGGCGCCTGCGTGCGCCCTCTCATCTGCTGCTACCTCCTGCTCGCAGCCCCCGCGCATGTCCCCCCCGCCCCCCCCCCCCCCTTTCCCCCCCGAGGCGCGCCCTCCTGTGCAGGAGGCGGACACGACGGATGACGATGCTTTCTGCGGCACGCGGCCACCTTGTTTTGAGGTGCGCTCGGCTCTGCAGGACGCGCTGCAGAGCTGCTCTTATGGCTCGCGGCCATCTCTGCCGGCGCGTGGTTGCCTAGGCCGTGCTGCCGCCGTTGTCGTCGCCGCCGGGCTTCGCCGTCTTGTTGCTGGGCTCGTGGGCGCCCTCTCCGTCGGGCAGGCGTTTCTTGCCTTCGATATTGTCCTCCTGTTTTGCTCCTGCAGCAGCCGCGCCCTTGTCCTTCTGCCCTGCTGCTGGGGCTGCTGCCTTGTGCGCTGGCTGCTCTGCCACTGCAGCTGCTGCCGTTGCGCCGCGGGCCCCCTTCGAATCTGGCGCCGTCGGGGCTCGCGCGCCCTTGGGGGTCGGCTTCAGAATCGGCCCCCGCTGTTTCGGCGCTGCCTTCCTCGGCGGATACCCCATGTGCTCCGCCGTGATTTTCTGCTGGCGCATGCGCGGTGCTGCAGTCTCGGGCGCCTGCGGCTGCTGCAGCTGCTGCTGCTGCTGCTGCTGCTGCGTGGGCGGGGGGGTCTGCTGCTGCTGCTGCTGCCGCGTGCGGCTCTGGCGCGGCCTCGGCAGCTGCAGCGTCCTGCGGTGCGCCTGCTGCGGCGTGCTGGTGGTCTGGCCCCGCGGGCGCCGCCGCGCCGCCGGCGCCGCTGCTGGCGGCCCCCCTGCAGCTCTCGTTTCGCAGCCTTGTGCGCCAAGGCATTTGGTAACTGCATGGAGAGGATCTCGCACCTGGAATCTGAATCGCCGTCTCCAGTCATTTCCTCGCGCTTCGCTGGCTGCAGGCTAAGGGGCTGCGCTGCAGCGCCGGCTGGCGTCAGCGGCGAGCCAGGCTCGTCCTCTTCCACCTCTTCCTGCACGGGGCTGCCCATGGACATGTGGGTTGGGCTGCTGGGAAACTGTGCTGCTGTGGCTTCGTCTCCTGCCGGCGCCGCGGCCGGCGCCGCGGCTGGCGCTGCGGCTGCCTCTGCAACGACAGGCGGCTGTGGAGGGAAGGGGGAGCGCTGCGTCTTCGCTGCAGTGGCCAGCCGGGGCCCCGCCAGAGTTGGCGCGTTCAGCGGCGGAGGCGGCGGCTGCAGCAGATTGGGGAACGGCAGCAGCTGCAAGTATGCCGCGGGCATCTGGGGCCACGACTGAAACGAAGGCAACTGCGGCATCTGCGGCATCGCGACCTCTGGCGGCTGCACCTGTTGATTGATCGCCCCCGAGCCCTGCAGCCTGTGCGCGACCTCCCGCGCCGCCCGCGCCGCCGTGGGCGCGGCCGCTGCTTGCCGCGGGGCTGCCGACAGATCTGCTTGAGACATGGGGGCGCTCCTGGGCCGATGGCCCCCCCTCGCTCGCGCGAGCGGGACGTCGTTGGGCGGCGGGTTGTCTGACGGGCGAGGCTGCGGTTTCAGCGATGGCGGCGGCGTCGCCGGCGCGCTCTTCTGCGCTGGCTTCGGGGAACTCGGGGGCGCAGGGTCGTCGGTCGATATCGACTCGACGTTGGAGTGCGCGATGGGAGTTCGCATCGGGCCAGTCTTGGGCCCCCTCGGCTCGGGTCTGGGGGCCGCGGGGGCGCGCCCGTGCACTGCGATCCCCTGCGCCTCGCGCTCTTTGATGCCCTTCCACCACCTCGGCGCCGCCCTCCTGCGCAGGGGGGGGGCCCTCCTGCGCTGGAGGAGCGCCCCCGCGCAGAGCGGCAGCGCAAATTATCGGACAATCATCGGTCGACCGATCGGTAATCAATCGCGCCTCGCGGCATCTAGGTGCCGCGCTGCCCCCCCCTTCCTGCCCGCGTTCTTCTTCTTCGCGCCCTGCGGCTTGTCCTGCGCCGCGCACAATGTCGTAGCGTGGGGGCGGTTGGCCCTGCCCCGATGCTGCCACTTGCTAGAGAGGCACAGGCCGCTGCCGATGCACTTCTCCTCGCCGCAGCGCCTGCAGTCGGTCGGCGGGCGGCGCAGGCGCACGCCGAAGGGGTCCTTGCGCAGCCCTTTCGGCGCAGCCGCCTCCTCCTCATCATCCCCCTCCTCGTCGTCGCCATCCACCGTGGCGCCCTCGCCCTTCGCGTCGCCCCCGCGCTTGCGCCCGCCGCTGCCGCGGCCGCCTGCGGGCCGCCGCCGCCGTCCCCAGTGCAGGCCGACGCCCATCGCCTGGCGGATCTCTCTCTCGATCGCCCCCCCCCCTATCTCCCCCCCCCACCCCTTTCCCCCGCCATGTCCTCCTCCGGTCCCCCCTCCTCCTCCCCCCCCTCCTCCTCCACAGTTGCTCAATATGAATGCTACTCTCCCTCTTCCCCTGATGACGTCTTTTGCGCATTCGCCCCCCCCCCCCCCCCCCCCCCCCCCCCCCCCCCCCCCCCCCCCCCCCCCCCCCCCCGCGCGCTGTTTTTTTGCGCGCGCGATTCCCCGGGGTTGGGTTTTCGCTTGCGTTTTTTCTTCCTAAATGCTGCTCTCGCTGAGGCGCCGGCCTCATTTCTGCTCCCGAATCGTCCCAGATCGTGCTCCCGCTGCAACGTGGGCCTCATTTTCGGATCGGTGTTTTGCCTCCGTCGTTCAGGATGGCGTTCTCGCCCCAGCGTGGGCCTCTTTCTCGCGCGCCCATCCGCCCGCCACCGCCGCGCCGCACCACGCCGCGCCCCGCCGCGCGCACGCCCGCCGCCGCTTCCACCCACCAACGCACGCACGCACGCACGCGCACCGCCACCGCGCACCGCCACCACCACCGCACTACCCCACCCACCACCACCACGCTACGCCGCGTCACACCACATCACACGCGCGCACACACAGACACACACGCACGCACGCACACGCACACACATACACACGCACACACACACGCACGCACACACACACAGACACACACACACACACCACCACCACCACCACCACCACCACCACCGCCACCACCGCCACCACCACCACCGCCGTCACGCACGCACGCACCTGGCCCACCACCAAGCCACCAAGACGCCAAACCACGTCACACCACAGCACACGCGCACACACGCACACACACACATACACACCACCACCACCACAACAACAACCACAACCACGCGCACACGCACGCACGCACGCGCACCACCACCCACTACGCACACGCGCGCTGGGCCACAGGTCCGCTACGACACGCGCCCGCGGAGAGAGAAAATCAGCAAGGGATGGGGGGGAGGGGTAGGATGTCAGATGTTGACGCGAGCGCGACTAACTTGCCCTCCCCCCCCCCCTCCCCTCCTCCTCCCCCCCTTCTCCCCCCCCCCCCTCCCCCCCCCCCCCCCGCCCCCCCCCCCGCCCCCCGCCGCCCTCCTAGCTCTGCTCGCGCAGCCCGCGTCCTCCCCCCCCGCCCCCTCTGCCGTCAGTTCCCCCGCTGCCGCGCGCGCCGTCGCCATGCCGGCCCGCTGAGCCAGCGGCAGCACGGCGAGAAGCATGGCTGGCAGCACGCTGCCACCCCGCTGGTGCTGCGGCGCGCGCGCGCCCTTGCGGCAGCGAGGCTGCGCAGCCTCTCGAGCCTGCGGCGCCTGCAACGCGGGCTGCAGCGCCCCCTCTCCGCCGCCCCTTTCCTTTTTGCGCCCTCCTATACAGGGGTGCGGAACGCGCTGTCGCAGCGCGTCATCCGAACGGCAAACGAAACTGAACAAATTTGTTGGACAAGCCTAAATGAACAAACGGGTGCTTGCAAGCTGAATTCGATGCGATATATGTGTATACTACAAAGTATGAAGACTATGCATCTTTCAACGTGTTGAGTGATATGCAGTTCGCCTGAGCGCGCGCGGCAGCCCGCGCGCCTGTGCGCGAGTGCACGCGCGCGCGCGCGGCTGAGAGCGCGCGTGGCTGCGCGCGCAACGGCCGTCGTCGCCGACGCCAACGCGCGCTCGTCGCCGCCCGCCGCCGTCGAAATTCGCCCGCATTGCGCGCGCGAGAATGCATTTGCACGCGCAACTGCCGCCCCCGAAAACAGTTTGCTTGCAGTCGGTCCGCCGCGCCGACCGCCGCGCGGGAACGGCGCCGGCGCCGCTTCTGTCCGAGCCTTTGCATGTGCACCGCGCGGCAACGCCTCGCAAGGACCCCGAAATCTCGCTGGCCTTCCGCGCGCAGACGGCGCGGTTGAACCCGCAGAGACGCGCGCCCCGCCATATGGGGCCACCGTGCATTTCTGACTCCATGGTCGTTCTGTCATGTCCTGTCATGCACTGTCGCGTCGCGCGCGGCATGTCGGCGAGAATCTGCGTGAGCAACTGAATTTTCCTATCGCGGGGCAACTCCACGAGCCTCTCCGCCGCTTTGATATTTTTCGCCTTTTGCTGTAGGAGTCAGCCCTCTTCCCGATGGCGCGCGCCCGGCGCTCGCTGATGGGGCGCCCCGCGCGGCGCTGCGTGCGCCGCTCTTCTGCCGCATCGCGACGCATCTCCTCTCGGGGGGCGTCGCTGCGGCGGGCCTGCATGGCCGCGGGAGTTTCGAGGCGACGTCGTCGGGCCCGGCCTGCTCCTCCTCCTCCCCCTTGTCGTTTTCCTGCTCGGAAAGGGCGCGTTCCTGCTCGCGCGCCGCGTCCCCGCGGGCTTCTTCGCGGCCGCGGGCCTCTCGCGCGGCGCGCCGTGGCTCGGCGGCTTCTTCTGGGGCCACGTCTCGCACGCAGCATTCGGCACCTCCGTGTCTTTGCCGCCGCCGCGCGCCCCGGCCGCGCGCGCGCCCTCGGGCCCCGGCTTCAACTTGCACACCGCGGCCGCCCCTCTGCTTTGCCCCATCGGGAACGCGCGCCCGTAGTCGACGGCGAAGATCTCCAAGTCGCCCTTCTTCGCGTCGCACTTCTCGCGCAGGTTCTCCGTGGGGGCGGCGGCGGCAGCGGCGGCGCAGCCCAGCGAAGACGCGATGCCGATGGGGCCACTGCCGCGTGGCTCAAGATCCTCGCCCCCTTTTTCTCTACGGGATTCCCGCGGGGGCCTTCGCGCGGCGCGCCATGTAGATCGACCCCGGGCTCATCGCGGACCCGCTGGCGGAGGCAGGGACGCTCGCAGGTTTCGCGGGGGATCTGCTCCTGCGGGGGGCCCTCGTCGTCGAGATCTCCTTCTTGCCTGGCTCCGGCCTTCCAACCTCGCCGACGCGCTTCACTGCGGGGCGCAACGTCGATCCGTCCGCGGCCCTTCTCCACTTCATGTAGACGTGCGAAAGGGCTGCCGACAGCTGTCTCGCGCACGTGTTGGCGTCGTCCTTGGCGATGCCGAGCTGTTTGATGAGCGCCTCTCGATTGAGGCTCAGCGATCCGACGGGTGCGTTGGATGGCATTGCCCAAACCCCCTGTTGTTGGCGACGAGATCCACTATGTCGGACTGTTTATTTATTTATATATATATATATAAAAAAACATCTGCATGATTTCCGCCTGGCACGACTTCACCGAACTCTCCATGTTCGCAACCGTAGCGGTGTTCCTTACACGCTCAGACATACGTACTAAAGTACAATTTGAGCCCAAACGGTTTCGGATCGGGATAGGTTATGTTTGGTAGTTGTTCCACCACCTCATGCACAGGAGGGGCGGCGTGCCCGCAGTGACCAATGCTGTCAGTTTCGCCCACAAACCAATCACATCCTGGAAAAGAAAAGGCTGTCGTCGCTAATTAAGATAAGGCTGTCGTCACTAATTAGTTAAGGATCTGCATTCCTAATTAGAGCAGACTGGACCCTCAAGAAAAACCATCATACATCACTCGATATTCGCGTCCTCGAGGCCATAAGCACCGGAAGATTAAGCAATACTCGCGTCCCCGAAGCCATACACCGTTGTAAATTACACCATTCCCCGAGACCATAAACCCAAGTAGGTTACTTAATACTCGCGCCCCCGAGGCCGCAAAACTCAGTAAAGTATGCGGTGCTTGCGCGTCCGAAAACACAAGCCATTGTAGATTACACCGTGCTCGCGTCCCCGAAGCGACACAATATCGCAATTTCTGCCATATTCGCGCCCTCGAGGCCATGAACCACAATAAATTACTAAATGTTCGCGTCCTCAAAGCCATACAACCTTGTAAAGTACGCAATAGTTGCGTCCTCGAGGCCACAAGCCTTTTGTGAATTACATTATATTCGCGCCCCCGAAACCATGAACCATCGTATAGAACGTATTGCTCGCGGCCCCCGAAACCATAAACACTAGAACATTGTACAATAGTCGCGTCCCTGGGGCCAAAACAAATCGTAAATTACACCGGGGCCCCGCCCTCCAAGCTAGGATCCGTCGTGCATGACAACAGATTCTCGCCTTCGAGGCCATGATCTGTAATAAATTACACCGTGTTCGCGCCGTCGAGGCCAAGACCGCCCCAAGACGGCCCAAGAAGCCCCCAGGAGAGCCCCAAGATGGCCCCAGAGGGCACGAGGACAGCTCAGGAGGCACCCAAGACGGCCCCCAAACTCCTGAAGATGGCACCAAAAGAGGTCCAAAGCGGGACCACGAACCAAAGATTTGTGCTTTCAGCCACGCGAGGGCGACAGAGGGCCCCAAGTGGCTGCCATACCGCCCCAACAGGTTTCCAAGAAGCATCCCAACAGGGCAGTCAAAGCCACGCGTTGTTGCCCAACGTAGTCTCAAGCAGCCCCGAATCGCTGCTCCAATACATGGCACGAAAATGAACTCGAGAATAACAAGACGGACTTCAACAATACGTTCTGAACCTGAGTCTGCCGCTAACCAGATCGCCCTCGCAGGAGATTCCGACATTGTTTCGCAACGGCGCAAAGAAATTCCAGCATAGCTCGGACATCGCCCATTCTGATAGAGAGGGGGGGCCGACGGCAGGGGGCGACACCCCTACGGATATTTCTATAGTTCCTGGATGGTCTTCTCTTCTTCCTCACCGCTCCCCATATTTTACCAGAGGTTCCTGGGACTCGGCGATTCTTGGTGTCTGTGTGCGCTCCCCCTTCTCAGAGGCGGTCCACTCAGACCATGCAGGCCAGCGGGCGCAGGACCGCAAGAAGCGGTCGGGCGCCAGTCGGGCTAGAGGCGGGACGCGCCGAAGCAGATCGGGGCACAGAGAGGGAGGAATAGCCGAACGAGAGCGAGAAGGAGGCAGAGTCGCTCACGCGCACACGCACATGTATAGACACCTGTCCGTCCAGAAAGAAAGCAACCTCTCCGTGAACGGAGGCAAGCACAGCAAGCCGCCAGACCTAAAGGCACGGCCTGCGCATCCACACTGGGGCACAGCGGGCGAGGTGGTGCAGGAGGACAGTAACATAGGACGAGGTGTAGGACGACGAGAACGATGAGAACAACGATGAATACGACATCGGCGACGACAGCGACGACGACTATCTTGCGAACGTGTGATCTGACAAGCTGCGTTGACCTTCATTTGTTTTCCCTCTCCCTTGTACCCGCCCATCAAGCCTATGAACTAACCCCCTCGTTGGGAGTTCGTTTCAAACCAACTCCTGGGAGGAGCAATCAGCAATAACTCTGCGTCCGCAGCGCGCTGTCATGGTCACCATGCGAGCAAGCGCGCCAGCGGGCAAATGACCCACTCGAGTGAACTGCGAAGACATGTCTGGAAAGAGCGCCGCTCCTGAGATGGACCCCCCCAAGGCGTCTCAGGGTAAGCCGTGCGGAAGTAATTTTCCAGCGAGAGCCGCTGTCGTCGAAGCCAAGGTATCACAAAATTGCCCGGATTCGGAAGACGTCTCGGGCGATAGCGCCGTGCTCCTCACCACTTTGGCCGAATTGCGAAGATGGCTCGGGCGAGAGCGCCGTTCCCGAGTGCGGGGGTCTGTCTGGCCAGGCGTCTCTGAGCAACAATAAACTGCGAGGCGATATGAAACGCGAGCAATTTTCGTCGCAGCTGGACCGTCACCAACGCAGCTCTGTCCACGGCGTCATGGAGAAATTTGTGAGGAGGTGTCGAGCGGGAACTGTTGTCGTCGCAGCTGGCGCTTCTACGGCCAGGATGGGCAAAGGTGCCCGCGCTCCAGCGGGCCCGTCGTCTTCAAGGGAAGTGCACCGAACGGCAAGGCGAGAGCGCCCAGAACCGTGCCCATGTATCAGCAGTGGCAGTAGCTAACTTTTCTCTAGAAGCGACCAGCGAAGGGAGACTAAGGAGGAGGAGGAGGAGGAGGAGGAGGGGGAGGAGGAGGAGGAGGAGGAGGAGGAGGAGGAGAAGGAGGAGGAGGAGAAGGAGGAGGAATAGGAGTAGGAGGGTAGGAGGAGGAGAAGGAGGAGGAGAAGGAGGAGGAAGCGTCGATGACGGCATCGACGACGACGAACCCCACGACGACGCCCACGCCGAGGCCCGCCAAGCGCCGACGCCGAGGGCCGCCCGGGGTTCCCTTGAGGGCCGCCGCGGGCGCCCGAACAAGCCGCCCAAGGGCCGCCGAAGGCCTGCAGCAGGCCGCCGCGGCGGCGACGGCGCTGCGGGAGGGGGCGTCCTCGACGTCCGCGCCAGACTGGCCGCGCGACAACGCCGACGACGACGACGACGACGACGACGACGACGACCACGAAGACGACGACGACGACGACGGCGACGACGACGACGACCACGATGCCGACGACGCCGACGCCGACCACGATGACGGCGGGAGGGGCGTCCTCGACGTCCACGCCAGACTGGCCGCACGACGACGTCGCGCTGGAGCTCGAGTCCGAGTCATCCCTCCCCGTTGGCGGCCCCACCCGCGGGGGACCCGAAGGCCACGGCCCGTACTCGCCTCTCCTCGTCATCCTCCTCGGCCCCTTCTCTGTCCCCGTCCCCGCCCTCCTCGCGATCAGCGAGTTCGAGGCGCCCAGCGAATGCTGCCAGTCTTTGTGCCTGACGAGGCCGTCGAGCACAGAGCTATAGCCCCGAGGGCGAAACTGGCCCTAGAGACCCGGCCGTATAACTACTGTAAGGGTGCCTGTGCCGAGCCGAGCTTCGGCTCCGTCTCGGGTTGGGTGCCCTCGTTAGCTGTCTATGCTGACCCTTCTGGTTTAGCAGAGAGCACCTGCCTGGTCCGTGTCCTCCTCCTCCTCTTCTTCCTCGTTCTCCTCGTCCAAGTCCCCATCATGCGAACTCCTCCTGCTCTTCCTCTCCCTCCCAGGAGCTCATGCTGGATCAACTTCGCAGTGCGAAGTGAAGCTCTGCTGCACACTGTCAGGAGCTGCGCAACAGAAGTACAATCAAGAAAACCCTACCTCGCTCCTCCCCTGTGTTCCACTGCTCGTCCTGATCCTCCGCCTCCTCTTCTTCCTCCTCCTGATCCTACTGGTCCTCCTCCTCCTTCTCCTCCTCCTCCTCCTCCTCCTCCTCCTCCTCCTCCTCCTCCCCGTGGCGCCAGTAAATCGCTCGATGGGGAGCGAGCAGCTCCTGTCTCTGTCCGCGCTTTTCGCGTCTGGGGCGAAGCCTCCCCTCCCCAGAGCCCTCGGGAGGAGGAGGAGGAGGAGGAGGAGGAGGAGGAGGAGGAGGAGGAGGGGGAGGAGGGAGGCGATGGAGGAAGAGGAGGAGGAGGAGGAGGAGGAGGAGGAGGAGGAGGAGGAGGAGGAGGGAGGAGGGAGGCGAAGGAGGAAGAGGAGGAAGAGGAGGAGGAGGAGGAGAGGGAGGAGGAGGAGGAGGAGGAGGAGGAGGAGGAGGAGGAGGAGGGAGGAGGAGAGGAGCAGGAGGAGGAGGAGGAGGAGGAGGAGGAGGGGGAGGGGAGGAGGAGGGAGGAGGAGGAGGAGGAGGAGGAGGAGGAGGAGGGAGGAGGAGGAGGAGGAGGAGGAGGAGGAGGAGGAGGAGGAGGAGAGGAGGAGGAGAGGAGGAGAAGGAGGAGGATAACAAAGAAAAGGAAGGTGTAGAGGAGGAGAAGAAGGAGGAGGCGGAGGGGGGTGAGGAGGAGGAGGAGGATGAGGAGGAGGATGAGGAGGAGGAGGAGGAGGAGGAGGAGGAGGAGGGGGAGGAGGAGGAGGAGGAGGAGGAGGGGAGGAGGAGGAGGAGGAGGAGGGGGAGAGGGGGAGGAGGAGTAGGAGGCGGAGGAGGAGGCGGAGGAGGAGGAGGAGGAGGAGGAGGAGGGGAAGGGAGGCGAAGGAAGAGGAGGAGGAAGAAGAGGAGGAGGAGGCGGAGGGAGGAGGAGGAGGAGGAGAGGAGGGAGGAGGAGGAGGAGGAGGAGGAGGAGGAAGGGAGGGAGGCGAAAGAAGAGGAGAAGAAAAGAGGAGGAGGAGGGGAGGAGGAGGAGGAGGAGAAGGGGCAGGACGTGGGCACAGGGAGGCCGACTACGTCTGCTTCGGGATGTTGGCCGCGCTCCCGCGCATCGGACATCCCAGGCCCCGGCCGGCACGCCCCTCACCGCTTGGAGTGGCCGCCGTCTCAGACAGCTGGCCAACCTCAGGGGAGCCGCCCTCCCTGAGGGAAGGGCAGCGGAGGTGTCTGCCAGGTCCCGATCAACGAGCTCAGCCGCGGCAGAGACCCGCGCGCGAAGCCAGAGGACGAGAAAGAAGAAGAGGAGGAGGAGGAGGAGGAGGAGGAGGAGGAGGAAGAAGCAGCAAGAGGGGGGAGGGGGGGAAGAGGGCGGCCGCGGGAAGGGGATACTCACGGCGCGCAGAACAGCACCGTGGGCGGCCGGTGCCGCCAGCCTGCGCGGAGGCACCCTGGCAGTGGACGCGGGGCGGCATGACTGTCACACCCAAGGGCTGAGGCAGAGGCCGCAGGCGTGAAGATCGAGGAAAACCACGCCGGGACTGAAGAAGTCAGAGTCGTCATCGGAAATCGGGGGTCGCAAGGCCGATGCCTCCGCTCGAGGTCGGCCGCACGGCAGCTTGACCGCCTGGCAAAAGGGGCCTTCGGGGCGCGGCTGCTGCTGGGGGGGGGGGGGCGCGACGGGTCCAAGTCCACACGCGCAGGCCTCGGCGATCGGGGGGGCCCTGTTCGGGGGTTGATAGAGGCGCTCCTGGCCCAAGGTGCCCTTGGCTTCTCGCTCAATCTTGGAACCCCTGGGGCCCTCTGGGCCTCGTGAGGGGTTCCCTGGAGGCCGTGGGGGCCTCCTTGGGGATCCTGAACGCACCCCCGAATCGCACCTCTTGCAACGCCCGGCCCGTGGGCCCGCACCAGGCCACTCTGGCTACAGGGTCACTCTTACGCGTGCGTGGGACTGGGGGCCGCCTGGGGGGGCTCTACCGAGCGTGGGGGAAGTTTGCGCCTTCCGTGGCGGCAGCTTTCCCAGTAGACCCCCCCCACTTGAGCAGTGACCGACCGTCCCGCCATTCCTGGAGGCCTACCACGACATGTTCTTAGAACCCAAGAATGTTCTAAGCACAAAATCAATGTTCTTAGAACATACATCAGATGTGATGAAACAAGACAGCCCCAGCCAGAAATGTTCTAAGAACATTTCGTGCAGACCGCAACAGGCTCTCAGAACATTGTCTGGTAGGCCTATAGGCACGCCAGGACGCTTCGCCACTGCTTGAGGGGTGGCTCTACCGAGCGTGGGGGAGGTTTGCGCATTCCGTGGCGGTGGCTTCCCCAGCAGCAGACAGAAGATGAAGGACAAAGCAACACATCCCCACTTATTTAAATACATCCAATTTTCTAATTGTTGCACGCAATCGAGGGCGCATCTGTCATCATCTTACCTCAGAGATACTACGACGCCCATTAATCCCTCCTACTACTCCTACCTCTCCACTCCTCCTCCTGCTCATCCTCCTCTCCTCCTACTCCTCCTCCTCATATCCTCCTCCTGTCCTCACTACTCCTCTCACACTCCTATTCCTCTCCTCCCACCCTTCATCATCCTTCTCTCCTGTCTCTCTCCTCCTCCTCCCCTCACCCACTCCCCATACCTCCTACACCCCCTCCTTCCTCCCCCGCGGCGGCAGCGCGCCTTCCCCCCCCCCCCGCGCCCCGCCCGCTCTCGGACAGCAGGCCCGGCGGCACGGCGTCGAGCACGCCGACCCCGGGGGGGGCGTGCGGCGCGCCGCCGGGCGGGGCCCCTTCGGGGGCGCGCCGCGGCGACGGCGACGGCGACGGCGACGGCGACGGCGACGGCGACGGCGACGGCGACGGCGACGGCGACGGCGACGACGACGACGACGACGACGACGACGACGACGACGACGACGTCGACGACGACGACGACGTAGGCGGCGGCGCCGCCCCCACGGCCCCCGCCCTCCTGGCATCGGCCAGCGACGACGGCGGCGACGACGCCGGCGGCGACGGCGACGACAACGGCTCGGGCGCGCCTTCTCCCTCACTCCTCTTCGCTGCTTTTTTTGTCCCCCCCCTTCCCCTCCGGCCTCCATCCTTTCTCTCGGCCGCGAGCAGGGGGGGGGGGGGAAGTGACAAGGAGAAGGCCGTCTGAAAGGTTCTTTGTGTCCTCGGGGAAAGCTTAGGAAACTTGTCAAAAGGCTGGGAGACTTCCGAATCTTCTGTCGGGGGCGGCCAAGAGGGGGGCTTCCAAGAAGGGGGGGGATCGTAAATCATGGCCAGCGGCATGTGCGCGGCCCAGGCAGGGGGCCGGGATGCATTGAAAGAAAAAGAGGCGCCATGAAATCTGGGGAGTTATCATGACCCCCGCCATGATATCCCCCCCCCCTAGTCATCACCCCACTCTTTGCCGCCCCCGATTCTGAGAAGGCCCACCCCTTCTGACTTTCCCTCTGGGGTCGCCGCCGATTATGAACAACTCCTCCCTGTCGCACCCCGAGGCGCGTCGGCAGGGCGGGCTGGGCGTTTCGCCTGAGACGTCCACTTCGTCCATGAGCCTGAAACTCAAGAGCTGGCAGCAGCTTCGCAGATGGATGGCGCGTCGCTTCCAAAATGTGGTTCTCGCCTTGCCGCTGCGCATACTCTCGGCGGGGGACAAACCTCCCTTTAGCAAACCTCCCCTTAGTGAAAACGACCTAGGACCGAAACCGACGGACCTGGACCTGCAAAAATGACGGCCGCGACGCCCTCTCGCGATCAGGAAACGGCCAATTCGCTAATCGACGTGTCAAAATAGGAGGTCTACCAACCTCCGATACTCGTATTCAAAGTCTGCAGAAGTTTCCACATGGAAGGCGGCCCGGTTTTTTTTAATGTGGCCCCCGCCCTGGTGCCGCGCAGACTCGTTGTAAGCATGTGCCAGGGCTGCACGGATGGAGGGCAGCATGTTTTCCAACATGTGGCTCTCGCCTTAGCGCCGCCCACATTCACTTTCAGAAGAAAACTGCAAGAGCTTCGCGGCTGAAGGGCGGGCCGCTTTCAATACGTGGCTCTCGCCTCGGCGCCGCGCACGCTCGTAAAACAAAAACTGCGGGAGCTTCACGGATGGAGGGCAGGCCGCGTTCAAAATGTAGCTCTCGCCTGAGCGACGCGCACAGTCGCTTCAAGAGTTTACAGCAGTTTCAACGGTTCTCATGGCTAATGTTCCAGGAAAGGCATTTGGTTGGTACGATGTCGGCCTGTCAGGGCTCAACAATTACGTTGATTCGTGGTGTTGACCACCCAGGAACGGTGCCCCGGTACGATTCAGGATCGTCCAGATGCAACAGTGACGGTGTGATTCGCGGCGCTGAAGCCCCAGGAATGGTGCTCTAACAGAAAGGACGATTTTCAAACACGTGTCTCCCAATGGGGAACTTCCCTCATTGAAAATGAACCATGTATGGGGCCTGTAAAAAGGGAATTTGGAGGGAGCGTTTAGTGCAATATCGTTGATGAGTCTTGGGGTTACACTGGTCCTCCTCCTATTCCTCACTCATCCGCTCCGTTCTCCTCCGCCTCCTCCTCGGCATCCTCCTCCACCTGCTCCTTCTCGTCCCTCTTCCTCCTCTACCCCCTCCTGCTCCTCCTCTACCCCCTCCTGCTCCTCCTACACCTCCTCATCCTCCATGCTCGTCATCCTCCTGTTACCTGATCGTCATCCCCCTCCTCCCTCCTCATCTTTCTCTACCTCGTCCTTCTCCTCCTCCTCCTCATCATCATCATCGTCATCCGTGTCCTTCTCCTCCTCCTCCTCCGCCTCCTACTTCGCCTCCTCCTCCTCCTCCTCCTCCTCCTCCTCGTTATCCTCCTCGAACCTCGAATCTCGGACCTCGTCCTCCTCCTCCTCCTCCACCACCTCCTCATCTTCCTCCTCCCTCATTCTCCCCCCCTCATCCTGCCTTCTCTGCCTCCTCGTCCTCCCTCCTCCCTCCTCCTCTTCCTCCTCCACATTTGAACCAAGTGAAAGAAGTTGTCCCCCTCCTCCTCCTCCTCCTCCTCCTCCTCCTCCTCCTCCTCATCCTCTTCTGCCTCCTCCTACTCCTCCTCGTCGTCGTCCTCCTCCTCCTCCTCCTCCTCTTCGGAACCATGTGAACCATGCATGCACGCCGGCGCCTGAAAGAGACGGCACCTCAGCTGAGCCGTACGGACGCCGCATGTGCTGGAGACTGTGCAGGCCTTCCCGCAGAGAAGATCCCACCCACTCGCCCATCCCCACCGCACCAAATGCGCAGACCATGCAACATAGGCCGTGCGAATGCGGATGCGTTGCTGGGCCTCCCGCGGCGGTTCGGCACGACTCGGGCACCCCCCAGAACGCCCTCGGCGACGCGCAGCTGCTGGAGAACATTACGAGGCGAGAGAACGCCCCGAGAGCAGAACAAAACTTCCGAAACGCCTCCTGGGCCCGCCTTCACCCTCCACCCCCCTGGGCATGGTCCGACCGTCCCAGCAATCCGCTAGGCGTATCTCGACATGCTCTTAGAACCACAGGACGTCCTCAAATCAAAAACAGCGTTCTTAGAACATGAAGCCAGTGTACTCAAACAAGGCTGGCTCAGCCAGAGGTGTTCGCGCAAGCCACACAAGGTTCTCATACCATGTTCTGGTTATCGGCAAGCCAGAACGCCTCGACACTGCCTGCCCCCCACCCCTCCTGCGGGCTTGACCCCCGCCAGTGGCCGCCGCGCGTCGTCGTCTTCGTCGTCGTCGTCGTCGTCGCCGCCGTCATTGGCAGCGGCGTCGTCCTCGTCCACCTCGTCGTCGTCGTCCTCCTCCTCCTCCTCGTCGCCCTCGTCGACGTCGTCGCCTCCGCTCATCCTCCCGCCCCTCACGTGCGGGCGGAGGCGCTCCCGCCCCGCCCCCCCGGCCGCCGTGCGGGGCGGGCGCCTGTTTCCGAGGCGACCTGCGAGAGCAGCGCCGATGGCCTCGCGCGCGCGCAAAGAAGGGAAAAACGCGTGAGCATCACCGCTCGCCGGTCCGCCCGGGTGTCTTGGATCTGCGCCTCGGCCGCCCTGAAGGGCGCCTGGGGCGCCAACTCCCGGATGGGGGAGGGGGGCAGGCTTCTTGGAAGGAGGCTCCTTCTCAGAAGGCGCCGGCTCGACCTCTACGATACAGAGAAAAGGCCCGCGTCTTCTAGGACGAAGCAGGGGCGCCTCTGAGGAGCCTTTCCCCCCCTCCCCCATACCCACCCTGTGCGCGCCGCCAGGGGACCGCCGCAAGTGTATGCTCGTGCATGATGGGATTGTTCTCCACCGCCACCACCACCATAAGTTTGAGGGGGAGGGGGTCCTCTACCACCTCCTCCTCCCTCTCCTCCTCCTCCTCCTCCTCCTCCTCTTCGTCGTCCTCCTCCTCCTCCTCCTCCTCTTCGTCGTCCTCCTCCTCCTCCTCGTCCTCCGCCTCCTTCCCCCCTCAAAACTTTATGGTGGTGGTGGTGGAAACAGCAGGCCCATCAGTGCAGGTTCCTGCTGCTCCAAGGTCTGCAGGTCCCGCCCCCGGCCGGAGAAGCCTGCTTTCTCGGGCCACGGGGCCGTCAGAAAGAGCGGCCCGGGGGCTGCGGAGCCTGCACCAGGTGGTGGCGGTCGAGGCGTGCCGGGGGCCCACACGGCGAACAATAAATCCGAGCGCCAGGTCCGGGTTCACAAAATCGGGCGGTCCATGTTGTTGTTCTAGTTTTGTTATGATCCTGGCGTTGTGGCGCCATGTGTCGGGCTCCAGGGGGCCACATCGGGGCCCGTAGGAATTCATCTGGGACGGAAAGGCTACCCTGATAGATCGCGGAGACGGAAGACTCGAGTTTGTGAGGGCCTCCAGTTTGCTTAACGGGGCCGTCAGAAAATTAACGGAGCCCCGACACCACCATAATCACCCCACCATCATCACCACCGTCACCCTCGGCATCGGCATCGCAGGAAAAAGAGAGAGAGAGAGAGAACAACAAAAAAAAAGAAGAGAGAAAGAGAGAGAGAGAGAGAGAAACGAGACAGAGATCCGCCGGCCCCCTTGCGGGGCCACCAGGCTGCGAGGATGAGGATTACAGCTCCCTGTTCCAGTTGCAGCTTCCTGTTTCCACTGTTACAGTCCTGCTTTCTGCCTCCTTACTGCTAATTGTTCCTGTCCGCGCGAGGGGTGGGAGCCCCAAACATGTTTTTTGTGTTACCACGCCCTGGGATGGCTCTCAGAATTCGTGGGGGGGCGTGGGACACGTACAAATACTTGATATTCGCCTCCCCGAGGCCATAAGCCCTAGTAAGTTGCTTCCGTATTCGCGTCCCGAGGCCATAAACCTCAGAAAATTATACAATGCTCGCGTCCCCGAAGCCATAATCCCTCATATATTAGATGATGTGTGCGTCCCCGAGGCCACAAACCCTCATACATTACATAATATTCGCGTCCCCGATGCCATATACCCTCGTAGATTACACAATATTCGCGCCCCCGTCCCCGAGGCCGCAAACATTTGTAAATTACACCATGCTTGCGTTCCCGAGGCCAAGCACCGTCGCAAATTACACGATATTCGCGTCCCTGAGGCCATACACCCTTACAGATTAAGCAAGATGTGCGCACCCAAGGCCATCGTCCCTGGTAGCTCAATCAATATTTGCGCCCCCGAGGCAACACACTTCTGTAAATTAGAAAATACTCGCGTTCCCGAAGCCATAATTCATCGTAAACTACTGCGTGTTCTCGCCACCGAAGCCATAAACCCTCGTAAATTAGTATTGGCCCTCGCGTGAAGTCCTGGCATTGCTTCACGTCAGCGTCCAGACATCCCAACACAGCTCTGGGGACCAGCGACATGGGGGCGAAGCCCTTACGGAGAAAGACATAACGATCCGTTTTTACTCAAACACCGAACCCCCCAAAAAACTCATTCCCGCGGGGGGGGCAGGAAGAACGATGCGGAATCCGATTGAAATCCTTGTGGAAACCGATTGGGATTCTACTAAAGTCAGATTGGGATCTGAGTGGGAACCTGTTGGGATCTGATTGGGACACTATTGGGACCCTCAGGGCACATATTGAAATCCGATTGGAATCTGATCAAAATCATGCTGGGAATCATCTTGCACCCAGATACGTTCCCCCCCCTCGCAGTGGCGGAAGCCCGAAAAAGTCCCCAACAGATCTCCAACAGGGTACACTGACGGGGGAACCGGACGGACATGTCGAGCTCTCGGCCCGCGGCCCCGAGAGGATCCCAGGAGGCCGCAAAAGGCCCCAGAAGGACCCCAGGACCCCCCCAAGAGGTAGAGCTCCCTATGGGGCCACGATCCTCGTGAGGGGTGTGCCGACATGGCCCGAAGTCGCCATGCGAGCCCTGCAACTGGCGCCTTCGGTGGAGCTCCCTATGGGGCCACGGAACGTTGTACCGGATGTGCCGGAACAGAGGCATGCGGAGGGCACAGGAGGGGGAGGGGGAGGAAGGTGCGCTGTCTCTTGAAAACGAGGACCCAACCCCACAGGATGGTTGGGAAAAATTGGGTGCTGGAGCCGACGCCGTGGGCTTCTGAAACCACCTTCCCTCAGAACAGTTCGGTGCTGGAACCGACGGGTCTTCCAGGCATTAGCAGCTGGAACCACTTTCCCTAATAAAAATTGCGCGCTGGAGCCACACCCCGTTCAGGACAGAGTGGAGGTAGGGGGGGGACAGGCCCGAAGGCGGGTGTCCTAGCGTTGTAGTCGCGCCTCGTCCCCCAATGGGGGCAGTCTGCGCGCGCTCGTGCGCGTGCGGTTGGTCGGTCGGTCGGTCGAACGGTCGGTCGTCGTCGGTCGGTCGGTCGGTCGGACCGCTCGTTCGGGCCGGTCGTCGGTCGTAAGTCGGTCGTCGTCGCCAGTCGTCGTCGTGTCGGTTGGTTGGTTGGTCGCTCCGGTCGTCGGTCGGCGGTCGGTCGGTCTGATCGGTCGGTCGGTCGGTAGCCGGTCGGCCGTCGTCTCGGTCGGTCGGTCGGTCGGTCCGTCGGTCGGTCAGTAGTCGTCGTCGTCGTCGTCGTTGGTCGTCGTCGTCTCGGTCGGTCGGTCGGTCTGTCGGTCGGTCGGTCCGTCGTCGTCGTCGGTCGTCGTCGTTGTTGTGGCTCCCTCATGGCTCCCTCGTGACTCCCTCACGGCTCCCTCACGGCTTTCTCATGGCTCCCTCATGGCTCCATCATGGCTCCCTCATGGCTCCGTCAAGGCTCCCTCATGGCTCCCTCATGGCGCTCTCTCAAGTCGCGCCACTCGGGCCAAACAAGCTACGGATGCAAAGATGATCAAAACATGACGCACGTCTGAAAACGCCCCCGATACTTGCACATGCGGTGGACACGGGGGCGGGAAACCGGTTGGCACGTTCGGTTCGACGCAGCGTGTTGTTAAAGCAGTTCAGCAGGGTAGCAAACTCAAAAAGCAGGCAGCAGCCTCTCGGCAGTACCTTGCCATCAAACGGATTGAACAATCAGGACTTGAAGCTGGGGCCTCCTACGGATCCAAGGCCTACGGTTATGCTGTGTTCATTTACTTTGTAGGCGTATTGACGCCGCTCCGGGGAGCGGCAAGGGAGAAAGATGTATCACCACGGTCATGGACTTCAGAACACACTGCCTGGATCCAGGCATTCGGCGTCCCATCCTATGTTGAAGCATTAGCTCCATGTGCGGATCCACGAGCCTGGAGCAGGTCCAGGCACCGCCAAAGCCTGGCCAACTGTCTTCGAGCAGATGAACACACGGGCACCCGAAATGCGTACTCGTCATATCCGAGGACCCCAGACGGGCTCTTACTCATCAGATGCTTCTCCTGGATTCCAGAGTCTCCTGATCAGATGTTTGGCATGTGCCGGATCTTTTCCAAGAAGTTCAACTCGAGCCGGTTGCACTCCCTGGGCCAGGAACGAATATCCGTTTGGATGGCCAGAAGTCTAGTCTCCAAGCTCTGCAGCGGCGGCGGACCGCTACTGCGGGGCTCGATTTGAAGGAGGCGTAGACAACCAGAGCCTGTCTCCTCTGCCCAATCAGTTGCAAGATGCACCGCACGAGAGGCAATTGGCATAACTTCTTCTGTGCATCGCGGCAGGTAGCGCGCGGCTGGAGACCCGTAAGCAAGACGCAGGGATTTCACCAGGGAGTAGTTGCCGGGATTGTCGAGTCGAACCAAAACTACAATGAAATTGAAGCGTGTGTTGGGCATCGCGGCACCACTCCGCGAAGCTGGACGGTGGTGGAACCACCACCAGTAGATACAGAGAAGTGGCAGGCCACGGGATTGGAAGGCGAGTTGTACCCAAGCTGTCTTTGGCATGTCGGCGGCGAGCTCAGGGGGGAAGTGAGAAGGGGCGGGCCTTCTCAAAAGACGCGGGAGTCCCTGGGCCTTCTGAGAAGTTTCCGAATCCTTCCCCGAAGGCATAGAAAGCTTCTCAGAAGGAGCGATGGCTTCTGAGAAGTCCCGCCGCCTTCTGAGAATCCCGTTTTCCTTCTCACTCCCCGCCCTCGCCCGCCGCCAAACATGGGAGTGCGCAGATCCAATGCTCATCTGTGGGAACGCTTCAGGGGTCTCGATTCAGGGGAGTCTTGTCTTCGCAGAATATTGCCCTCGCTCGGACGTCCATTCCCAGTGCGTTTGTCGATTCTGTGCGTTTATGTTTTTTTCGCAAGATGAGCCGAACTACTCTTCGATTGTCCTCGCCGAGACAAAATGCACACCACGTCCGAGCGATGCCACACGGCTTCGCAGAGTAGGCTTCACTATCATGGACATTTCGGGGATCGCGCCGTTCATGGTCTCGGCCAGTTGCGGGGATTCGTACTGAGACACCCCAGGCAGTGCCTAGTGGGAAACTCAGCGCATCAGAATTAATTGAGCACCACATTGACCACTGGACACCTTACTCTTGTGTTGACGAGGAGGTCGTGCGTGGCTTGTGGGAGAGACGGTGGGACAATCCTTAGGGCGAGTTGGCCCCAACATGGAGAGCAATATGTAAGCGGTAGGCGACGTCGGCGTTGTTCGCAAAGGCGCGATCGGGGAACTCGAGGGTTGGGGGCTTCTCTGGTGCCCCAGGCCTGGCCGAACTCCCCGCGTGCCCCCCGAAACGTCAAGGATTGTTTCAAGGAATGTGTACGCCTGTGTCTTTGCAGGACGTGCAGCAGATCGGCATCGTGTGCCCGAGACGTCAAGGCTCGCAGTGCACTCCGTCGGGAGGAAACCAGCCTTGGTCAGCAACCTGCCATCGCTCGGGCATACACGATTTCCCCCGTTGCCGTAGGCGGCCCGAGCAGGAGGAGGAGAAGGAAGAAGAAGAAAACGCACGCCAAACGGCGGACCTGGCCCCCGCAGGGCGGGGATGTCCTCCGAGCGATGCCAAGGGAAACGTTCGATGAGGTCTACGTCGGAAGTGGTGGCCGCAGACCGCGGGATGAAGCAGGCTGTAACACAAGCAGAGGTCCGACGCCGAGGCTGTTATCGCTGGCCCCCCTCTGCCTCCCACGCCTCCCCCTCTCAACATCCCCGAGGGACACGTACCTGTTTCGCCAGTTCGTAATGTTCCAGCCCCTACAAGACATCCCAACGACAACCCAAATGTCCTCGTAGATCGCCCCAAGGTGGCCCGAGGAGCCCGCAGGAGATGCCGACGACCGCCCCAGAGGTCTGCAAAGACAGCATAGGATGGCCAAACTTTGGCCAAACGTTTGGCCACATAGGCCGTTTCCCGAAAGGCAGCGGGTGGCGGTGATTCGCCGTAGGCGCCTTCGATACATTGGGAGCAGATCCGCCTTGACTTCGGGCCCGGTGGCCCAGTGGCGCGGCTGGGTCGCGAGCGCCCCTTGGGTCCCAGACGCCCTGGCCCAAGAGACGCCCAAGACGGTCCAAGAGGGGCCCAGGAGGGGGAACACGAACCGAAAGAACGAGCCTTCCGCACCCATGAGGCCCCACGGGGCACCCACGAGGTCCCAGGAGGCCCCGAAACAACCTGCCAGAAGCTGCAAAACTGCCTCCAGGCCCCCCAGGAGGCCTCCACGAGATCCCGGCGAGCATCTAAGAGGCCTCAGACCCACAACCCAGGCACGGTGGCTGGATGGGCCGACGGCTGCTAGCTTCGACCCCTAGTAGCTCCATGCAAGACCTCTCGCATTACCAAGAAACGGAGAGAGGATCAGTTTCGCTTCGAGTAGAGGCTTCATCCGAAGTAGCGTTGCAGTAGTGCTTCGCGCGGGTTGCCACTCCTCCTCCTCCTCCTCCTCCTTCTCCTCCTCCTCCTCCTCCTCTTCTTCGATCCTCCTCGATCCTGGCCATCCTCCTCCTCCTCCTCCTCCTTCTCCTCCTCCTCCTCCTCCTCCTCCTCCTCCTCTTCTCCTCCTCTTCATCACCCTCCTCCTCCTTCTCCTGCTCCTCCTCCTCCTCCTCCTCCTCCTCCTCCTCCTCCTCCTCCTCGCTCCTCCTCCTCCGTCTCCCCCTCCAGCGGCGGGGGGCGCAGTCCGCATGCGCTCTGCACCTGGGTGCCAGCGCGTGCCTCCAGCGCTCAGCGCTGATTCCCTAGGGACGGCCGCTGCTCGCAACACGCGACGGTCATCCCTATCGGGGGCGTCCAAGAGGGGGGCGTCCAAGAGGCGGGCGCAAATCATGGCCAGTGGCGCGTGCGGCGCACGTCGTGCGCGGCCCAGGGGGGAGTCCATGACGTATTGAAATGAGAAGAGGCGCCATCGAATCTAGGGAGGCATCATGACCCAAGCCATGATACCCCCGCCCCCCCGAATCATCAGCCCCCACATGGCCGCCCCGGAGCCCTCGGGGGGAGGGGCGCGCCAGCCAGGGAAGATGCCTGGCGTCGCTTGCCCGGGAGCACGGCAGGGCGCGCAAAACGTGGCCGCCCTCCCTGCGCCCGGGGCCGCAGCCCAGCCCGTGCTGCGGGCGCCTTCGCTGACCGCCAGACCTGTCGACCGTCTTCGAGGTGGAGCTCCTTGCTGCGGGTCCCAGAGGAGTGAGGAGCGAGGGGGGGAGGAGGAGGAGGAGGAGGAGGAGGAGGAGGAGGAGGAGGAGGAGGAGGAGGAGGAGAGGAGGAGGAGGAGGAGGAGGAGAGGAGGAGGAGCAGGAGGAGGAGGAGGAGGAGGAGGAGGAGGAGGCTGGACACTGGTTGGAAACTACCTCAAGGTCCCGAAGGCATTGCTCGCCACGGCGGACGCGGAAGGCAGTCAAAGAGAGGCCGGCTCCCCACTGCAAGGCGCAGAGACCGCGCCGAAAACGAGACCGCCACCAGGGGGGTGGCGGGCGCCCCGGCCCCAGGGAACTCGGTCCCCAGGGCCCCATGGGACCAGGAGAGGACGGCCCAGGTCTGCAGTCAGAAGCCACCCCCGCGCCGACATTCCCCCTCAGACTTCCTGCGCCTCGAGCTGCACGACCTGATCGCACAGTTTCAGCCAACGAGGGCCTTCAGCGCGCCCTGGTGCTCGGGCTGCGCGTGCAGCCAGTCCAAGAAACTCGCGCAATCGATGCCCTCGCCTCCGCGAACTGCTCCGTCTCCGCGCCCGCCAGCGGGCCGCCAGGCGCGGGCCGCCAGGCGCGGGGAACCCTAGCCGCAAGGCCGCGGCGTCCCGAATAGCCCCTGCAGCGGCTGGCAGGGGGGGGGGGGCCGAAAGCGATACGCACGATCGCCAACCACGAAACCCACCACGCTGCCGATGGCCCCATCGGGAAGGCATCCCCAGCGCAGCACATCGGCTCCTGGAGCCAGGTCCTCCTCGTACGAGTCGTCGTCGGGCGTCAGCGTCATGACGATCGACACGCCGCCAGGGGGGAGGTAGATGGCATTCCTCTCGTGCCATATCCGCGCCGCGCCCACCGCGTAGAGGGCCAGGAAGAAGTCGCCCTCGTGCAGGCCGTGGCTGCCGGTGAGCTGGTGGAGCGTCCCCACGGGAGCCGCAGGCGCGACAGCCGCCGTGGCTATCGCTGCCTGTGCAGGGCCAGCTGCTGCCGCGCCTCGAGAGCCAGCTGCTCGCCAGTCGTCGCGGACGGGGCGGGCAAGGAGGGCCCACCAGACGCTGGAGCATGCCGAGCAGGTCGACGCCAGACGGCAGGCAACTCTGGACTCCAGAAGGCCCCGGCGAGGAGCCCCAGCAGGCAGACTACGATGGCCACCAGCACGTGCGCCAGGACAAGGAGAGACACGGGCACCTGCCGCAGCAAGCTGCTCACACTGCCCGGGGCCACACTCCAGGTGGCAGAAGGGGCAGGAGGGACAGCTCACAGACGGCGAGCGGTTGCGCGCGGGGCAGGGCGCCGATGAAGCACGCAGCACCCTCCCCGTCGAACGGCGTCGGGCCAGCTCAGCCACAGCAGCCCGGGCTGCGGCCGGCATGAGCTGTCCCTCCCCCGAGGTCTGAAAGGGTGCCAACTTGAGCAAGGACGGCGGCGAAGCCGTGCGGCCGCTTCTGGCTCGCTCACTGCTTCCTGTTCTGAGGACTGCGCATAATGATGATACGGCTAAGTATAATAACGATAACCAATACTTGTAACACTCTTAAAAATGATGCACCATGACAAACATACCACGAATAACAATAATTAAACCACAAATGATAAACAAATGGTCGTAATCCACCAATGCTGCTACGAATAATAAGAACCAACATGCTGATAGCACGACTAACACTACTCATACTGACCATAATGAACAATAACACGTAACACGAACACGAAACTGATAGTTTAACAATGATAATGTCCGTATCCAGATAATAATAATACGACGAATGAAGATCATGATGATAATACTGGAAAACATTATCATGGTAGTACTCACGAAACACTAACATTGATAATAATACGAACGCTCAGGTACAAGAATGACGATACTGGCAATCGTACTAATAATGGTAATACTCATACTAATGCGACGAAGAAGAATACTACGAATAAGAATAAGATAAAGATAATGCGGGTGAGCAGCAGGAGGAAGGATGCGCAGGAGAAAAAAGGGAAGGATAAGGCAGGATATGGACGAGGACGAACAGCGGCGGAGGGGAAATGAGGGGGGCGACAGCGATGAAGAAGGACTAGGACCCAGAAAAGTGGCCTGCGCGGGGGCAAGAGTGCCAGTCTGAACGACAGGAGCAAAACGCCGATCCCAAGATGAGGTTCGCGCTGCAGCGGGCACACCATTTTGAAACACCTAAAACTATCGGACTGTAACCAACCATAGCAATCACGTGCCGATCCTGAAATTAGGCCCACGCTGCAGCGGGAACACCGTTTTGAAGCACCTAAAGCTGTCGGATTGTAAACAACCACGAGCATCACTTATGTCCTATTCTGCGTGTAAAACATCCGTACGCAGGGAGGGCGGAGCATATTCCGGACAGAGTACTCAGATTGAGTACGTGTAAGACCTGGACCTCTGACGTCGTCGTTGCCTTCTCCAGGCGACTCCCGATGTGCCACACGGGTAGGGGCCATGGTTAAACAAAACGGGTCGCAGACCCCAAAGGCGTTCGGCATCGAAACCGACCTGGACGGCCGGAACAGATCTCGAACCAGATCGATCCGATCGAAACAGCCCGTGAACCAGGGCTGGGCACAAACGTTGTTTGTCGTTTTGCTGTCGTTGTGCTCTACCCGTTGTCCTGTACCTCCCTCCCAAAACGAAAAACAAGACACAACCGAAATCCAGCAAAACGACGCTTAGGCCCAGCCCTGCCGTGACCTCGGGTCGAACCTCGGATCCGGTCGATCGAACCGATTCGGATCGGGCTCGGCCCTCGGGCCACGACTCGGGTCTCGGGCGGCCGCTCGGAAGGATCCAGGCACCCCCCAGAGGGCTCTCGGCAAGGCGCAGCTGCTGGCACGCAGCCCCAGGCAAGAAGACCTGCAGGAACCGACGGGAACCTCCAAAGACCTCCGGGGTCGGTCCCAAACCCCCGACGTCGTGACGCTTTCGCAACGTCGACCCCCATAGGTCTGGACCCCTTCTCCGGGACCGGTTTCCCATCCGGAATCGTTTTCTGACGGCCCCGGGGCCCGCAAAGGGCCCCCGGAGGCCGAAAACAGCGAAAAACCTCCTCGCCGCGATTTTTGTCACAGCCAGAGGGGGTCCAGGTTTCATTGCACCGGCCTTGCAGACGTGCTGCAGCGGATTTCTGCGTGGCTTTTCGCCCGAAGCGGCGAGCGAAACACGAAGTGAATTTCGCGTGGTTGGTCTTCATCCCTGGCCAAAAAGAACCCGCGCGAAACTCACATCGAAATCCGGAACGAGATTCTCCAGGACACCCCAGGCTCACCCTATCGCTTTGCGAACGACATCCACTCTGCGACGGTGGGTCAGTTCTCCACTACCACCACCATAGGTAGGAGGGGGAGGGGTCCTCCTCCTCCTCCTCCTCCGACTCCTCCTCCTCCTCCTCCTCCTCCTCCTCCTCCACCTCCTTCACCCCTCCAACTTATGGTGGCGGTGGAAAACAAGCCCATCATGCGATGCTGGCGCCATGGCAGGTTTGAGTCGGATCGGCAAGCAAACGTTGGTAAACCCCAAACGTGGTGGTGACAACACCTGGCGGTGAGTCTCGGGCGATTTGGTGTCAGCACCCAGTTTGGGGACTCGTGCGGTTTTCCGAGGATGTCCCGGACACTGGTGGGTCCAGGAGTCACAAAACCCGGTGGTGACCCCGCGTCCCCAAACCCAGCGGTGACCTTTTTGGGGACTCCAGGTCGCCACCTGGTATCTCACCACCTGGTTTGGGGGTTCCCGAAAACGGCCCCTCTGCTGCGCAGCTCCTCCTGAGGCTCCGGGTCGTGGCTCTCACCACGGCGTCGTCGGGGCCGACCCCGTGGCGCACGGTGGCGGGGGGCAGGTCCACGGCGAGCGCCTCTGGGCCGAGAAAAGGCGGGGGGGGAGCCCTCCTCCTCCTCCTCCTCCTCCTCCTCCTCCTCCTCCTCCTCCTCCTCCTCCTCCTCCTCCTCCTCCTCCTCCCTGGGTGCTGTTCGTGTTCCTCGTTCTCCCGCTCCTGCCTGTGCTCCTGCTCCGGCTGCTTCCTTCGCTTCGCCTCCCGCTCTTGTGGCTGCTCCTACCCCTTCTGCTTCTGCTGAGGGTACTGCTCCTAAAATATTGCCGCTCCACCTCCTGCTGCTCCTCGTCCTCCTCTTCTTATGTTTCGTCGTCTGTTTCTTCTTCTTCGTTTTGTTATTAGTCGTAGTCCTGTTATTTTTTGTATGATGGTGACTCTTCTTGCTATGAGGAGTAGTATTGTTATTCTTGGTCTTACTACTATAGCTCGTAATAACATTGTTATTATTACTATTGATGAATATCCTCCTCCTCTTCGTCCTCGTCCTCCTCCTCCTCGTCCTCCTCCTCCTCCTCCTCCTCCTCCCCCGTCCCTCCTCCCCCCCTCCTCTCTGGACGAAGAAGGGGAAAGAGGAGGCCCCGGCGCCGATCCCAACAATCCGCGAGGAGCTCCGAGAACTTACGCTGGTGCTGCTTTCGGCGGTGGACAAACCTCCCTTGAGTAAACCACCCTTGAGATAAAACGGCCCAGGACCGAAACCGACGGACCTGGACCCGCAGCAATGTCGGCCGCGACGCCCTCCCGCGAACCGAAAAGGGCCAATTCGCTAATCGACGTGTCAGGGTAGAAGGTCTATCGGCCTCCGTTGCTTCTCTCTCTCCGATGGACCCCCCGGGGGCCCCCCAGGCCCGACTCTTCGCCCTGGGGCGCTGGCTCACGGCACCGGGGCGCTGACCAAGGCCCCCTCCTCCTCCTCCTCCTCCTCCTCCTCCTCCTCCTCCTCCTCCTCCTCCTTCTCCCCTGTGTCACTTCGTGGCGAGCTCAGCTGCCCCGATGCGCAACGCGCAGTCCGCTGCGTGTCGGTTCACGGGGATCTCAGAACTCCTGCGTCGGCGGCTACAGGCAGGGCGACTGCGCTGGCGGACGGGGCGCGACGTGGCAAGCGGTGCGCGAATTGAGCCACCACGCATGGGAAGGAGGAGGAGGACGAGGCGCCCGGCGACGGCCAGTGAGCTCAACACGTAGACTGCACGCGCAGGTCTGGCGCGATACGCTCGCCAGAACGGGGGCCAGCACGTGCCGAGCCAGCGCCAGCACGCAGCGTGTGAGCACGAGCGTATGTTTTACTCGCGGCCGTAACTGCCGTTGTGGGGTAGGGGGGGAGGGGGGAACGGGAGGGGGCAGAACGCAGCGCCCCCCCCCCCCAGACCGTGGTGCTGGACGCGCTGCGGCAGTGCCGGGGACGCACTGCGGGGGGGAGCTTTACGTTAGGGGGAAAGGGGGGGGAGGATTGAAGGGGCCCTGAGACACACAAACAAATACACACAAATAACAGGATCCCCCATATTTTCCCATATTTCCTGGGTTTTTGTCTTCCCCCCCACTTCCCATATTTTCCCATATTTTCTGGGGAATCGACGATTAGTTGTGTCTGTGTGTTTCGTTCCCTCCTGAAGGATGGGGGGCATACCGCGCGTTGTGGCCCGAGGTGCGACGGCACCGGCCTGCCTGCCTGGGCCTGGCCCCGCAGAGGAGCCCCCCGAGAGCCGCGCACTCCGCGGGTGCGTCTGGCGAAGGGCCACTCGCGACGAGCGAACGGCACAAACACATACCGAGAGGGAGGGCGGGGGGGGCTGCTCAAAATCCCGTATGAATCGGCACCGCCTCAAAAACCGGACCCCCCTCCAAATGCGACCTGATATTCTGGACCCCCCTCTTCGACGGAGCGCCTTCATAAACCAGACCCCCCCTAAGCTCCGATCCAAAGAAAGCGCCCTCATAAACCGCGCCCCCCCCAGTTACAAAAAAGGCGCCTTAAAAAGCCAGACCGGGGGAGGATTAGTAGGGCATTTGGAGCATGAGTGCGTGTTGTCGGATGGGGGTCCCCGCTTGCACGGGAGCCTCACCCGCGGTCCGACAACCCACATCCATACCCACAGCAAGTCCTCCTCCCGCCGACCCCCCTGTGGGTATGAGTGTTGTGTTGTCCGTTCGTCAACTCATGGGGAAACTGGAATGTCCCCATACCTGATGTTGCTCCCGTCGTACTAGAAGAACACGTCCCAGAAATAGTTTCAAGCGCCCGGAAAAGTGTCGAAACAGTGTCGAAACAGTGTCGGACGAGTGTCTCCCAGGGCCCGACACGTGATAACCATCAAATTTCGGTATTTTCGTGGTGCTCGAAATTCTCTCGTGATCAAGGCTAAAACAGGTTGGAACATCACAACCCATACCTAGGGGAACGAAGAATGATATAAGCATAGAAACTCGGAGGTCCGCGCGGACCTCCGAGTTTTTATGTTTATATAATGTTTCGTTCTCCTAATACCGCTCCTCCCTGGACCTCCTCCGAGGAGCGTTCCGACCAGAACTTCGAGGCGTATCCAGCGGTGGTGACGAGGGCCTCCCAAGAAACCCAAAGGCGGAAACGAGGCAAAAGGAGCGGTACCGGTACCTTCCCAGACCCCCGACGTCGTCATTTTTGTCGCAACGTCGACCCCCAAAGGTCTGGACCCCTTCCCCGGGACTGGTTTCTCATCCTGAGCCGTTTTTTGACGGCCCTGGGGCCCGCCAAGGGCCCTAGGAGGCCGAACATCGCGACAAACCTCCTGCCGTGTTTTTGTTCCCCAGCGCCAGGGCTTCTGGGGAGAGGTATCGGTAGCTTTTCTTCTCGGCGTGGGGAAGGTTCGGCTTGCGCCGCCGCACTCCTGGCGATGGCGAGCCACGCGCGGAGGCGAGAGCGCCACTCCCTGGCCAGGGACCCGCCCTCCCACCTCCCCGCGCGTGCGCTCTGATGGGCCGCTGTTCCCCACCACCGCTGGCATAGGTAGGAGAGGGGGGTGAGGAGGGGGAGCAGGAGGAGCAAGAGGAGAAGGAGGAGGAGGAGGAGGAGGAGGATGAGGAGGAGGTGGGGGGGAGGAGGAGGGGGAGGAGGAGGAGGAGGACGAGGAGGAGGAGAAGGAGGAGGAGGAGGAGGGTTCTCAGGTGCCGCCGCCCCTCTGGCGATGGCGCGCCTCGCGCGGGCAGCCGCCGCACTCCTCAGGGGGCATGGCGGCCAGCAGCGAGCGCCTCGGGCGCCACCAGGCGCGGGTTGCGGCGCTAAAGCGTGGGTCACGACGACGACGGCGAGGAGGAGGAGGAGGAGGAGGAGGAAGAGGAGGGGGGAGGGGGAGGAGGAGGAGGAGAAGGAGGAGGAGGAGGAGGAGGAGGAGAGGAGGAGGAGGAGGAGGAGGAGGAGGGGGAAGGGGGGAGGAGGAGGAGGAGGAGGAGGAGGAGGAGGAGGAGGAGGGAGGAGGAGGAGGAGGAGGAGGAGCAAGAGGAGGGGGAGGAGGAGGAGGAGGAGGAGGAGAAGGAGAGGAGGAGGGGGAGGGGGAGGAGGAGGAGGAGGAGGAGGAGGAGGAGGAGGAGGAGGAGGAGGAGGAGGAGGAGGAGGAGGAGGAGGGGGAGGAGGAGGAGGAGGAGGAGAAGGAGGAGGAGGAGAAGGACGAGGAGGAGGAGGAGGAGGAGGAGGAGGAATAGGAGGAGGACGACGACGAGGACGAGGACGAACCCCGAAGAGGATCAGGAGGACGACGACGGTGAGGAGGAGGAGGAGGAAGAGGAGGAGGAGGAGGAGCAAGAGGAGGAGGAGGAGGAGGAGGAGGAATGCGGCGCCATCCCAACACATGTCCGACGCTGTGGCTCACCCATCTGGCCCCGTGCTCCCGTGCTCACCTCCCCGCCTGATCCTCCCCCGCTTTCCCGTCCCCCTCCTCCTCATCCTCCTTTTCGGCGCACCTCGTGTTCTTCTGGATTAACATGTTCCTTCCTTATCTTCCTTGTCCTCCTCATCCTCCTCCTCCTCAACCTCATGCTCCCCTCCCCTCTGCGTGGATGGGGACCTTAGATCCGCCACCGTGCCCCTCGGCAAGAAGTGTGCAGCGCCCCAAGGCCCACACCTGTGCTGCTGCAGCCGGGATTCTCGACTCGTCATGGCCCAGACACCCGGCTCCCCATCTGTCCCAAGAACCACTGGGTGGTTTCGGGGCCTCTTGGGGTGTCGCGTGCGAGGTACCGAGGAGGCCGCGAAGATGGCCCAAGAGAGCCTCGAGTCGCCTCAAGATCGCCCCCAGATCCTCAAGACGGCTTGAAGAAGGGCCCAAGAGGCCCCCAAGCAAGCTCGAGCGAGCACCGAGAGCGCCCCCAAGGCAACCCCGAGAGGCCCATCTCGCCCAAAATCCCTGAGGAGCACGTCTTGGCTTTGCAGATTCGCTGTCTTTGGCTCTTTTTTTGCGCAAGTCCAGACAGCCCTGGAAGACTCCAAACCGTCCCAAGACAGCAGCCCCAGAGGCCCCCGTACATCGCCCCAGGACGGCCCAAGAGGCCCTCAAAAGCCCCAAGACGACCCAGGAGAGCCCCAAGGCGGCCCAAAAGGCCCACCAGGACAGCACAAGAGCCCCTCCCGAGAGGGCCCCAAGAGGGGAACCCAAACTTGCAATTCGAGCCTTCCCCCCCCCCAAAAAAGCAACCAAGGCCATCAATGCGCCCCAACGTTGCCCCCAAGCGGCCCAAAGAGGCCCCGAGAGGCCACCAAGAGGCTCCAAAGAGGCACCCAAAAAGGCTTCGAAACTGAATCCGCGAAGTCCCCGAGAGGCACCCCAAGACACGCTAACCTGCATCCGAAAGGCCCCTGACCCTCAACCCATGCACGGCGGCGGGATGAGCCGAAGGCCATTAAATATTACGCCAGAGCTGTGGCCCAAGGATCCTGGCAACGAGATTGTTTCTCCCTCTCCCCTCCTCTCCATAAATCTGACGTTGTGTTTGGTGTGATATCCTACATGCGCTTCTTCTTTTTAATACATGGACCTCTTGAGGTCTCGACCCAAGTCAGCTTGTCACTCCGAGGCGACCTCTGGCGGTCCCGGGGCCCAAGAAAAAACCCGAGAGCAAGTCAGCCGAAATACCGTCTGCCGTGTTTTGATTCTACCCTTCCTGTGGTGTTAAGCTCTGGTCTTGGAAAATCCCTTCGTCCCCTCCTCTCTTTCCTCTCCTGTCCTCTCCTGTCCTCTCCTCTCCTCTCTCCTCTCTCCTGTCTCCTATATCCTCTCTCCTGCCTCCTGTGCTCTCTCCTCTCCTCTCCTCTCCTCTCTCCTCTCCTCTCCTCTCTCCTCTCCTCTCCTCGCCTCGCCTCTCATCTCCTCTCATCCTGCTCTTCCTGTTCTCGCCTCCTCCTCCTCCTCCTCCTCCTCCTCTTCCTCCTCCTCCTCCCGTCCCCCCTTACGTGTGGCACACCCTTCACACGTTCCGTGGCCCCATAGGGAAGCACACCTAAGGGCCCAGTGGCTGCGCTCGAGTGCCGCCCCCCTCCAATTTGGCACACCCCTCACGCGCTTCGTGGCCCCATACGGAGCTACACCGAAGGCCCCAGTGGCTGCGTTCGTATGCCGCCATGCCCCTCACTTTGGCAAGCCCCTCGCACGCTTCGTGACCCCATAAGGATATACACCTAAGGACCCAGTGGCTGCGTGCGCATGGCGCCACCCCCGTCACTGTGGCACACCCTTCGCGCGTCTCGTGGCCCCAGAAAGAGCTCCACCGAAGGACCCAACGTCTGCATTTGCACGCCGCCACCCCCCTCCACTCTGGCACACTCCTAGCGCGCTTCGTGGCCTCATAGGGAGCTACACCGAAGGCCCCAGTGGCTGCGCTCGCATGCTGCCACCCCCCTTCAGTTTGGCGCACCCATGGCGCGTTCATGACCCAGAAGGAGCTCCACCGAAGGCCCCACTGGCTGCGTCAGCATGCCGCCCCCCCAGTTTGGCACACCCCCGCACGCTTCGTGGCCCCATAGGGAACTACACCTAAGGCCTCAGCGGCTGCGTTCGCGTGCCACCAACCCCCTCACGTTGCCACACCCCTCGCACGTTGCGTGACCCCGTAAGGAGCTCCGCTGGAAGCCCCAATGACTGCGTTCGCACGCCGCGCCCGCATGTTTTTTCACGCTTCTCCCGGCGCGCGTCAGCCGCAACAAGTTACATCATCACGTAACCCGCTTCGACTGACCTCAACGCCCCCTGCGGGCGGCCCCATCGGCAGCGCCAGCGCGGCGCCCCCCCCTCATTTCGGCGTTCCCTTCAAGCGTCTCGTGGCTTTGAAGTGAGCTTCGACGAGGGCGTTCTTCCACAACGGTGGTACTTACATCTGCATATGGGTGGGTCCTCCACCAGGAAAACTTCTCTCGCAGTGCGAGGAGGCCTGGGTCACTTCCCCCTCCACCTTTTCTCCCGCCTCCACCCCCACACACCCACCCCCCCACTTCCAGGATCAGTCAGCGTCGGATCGGCAATCCGGATCGACCCGAGGTGTGAACCGGATCGGGCCGGGAACCGACATCGAACCCGATCGGCTGCGCCAGGATGCACAACAACGCCATGCCAGCAACGGGCCGCAACAGATCGTCGAAACGCTTTTCTGTTTCCCACTGACCACACAGCGGGGCTCTGCGCGCCCGACCGCACGGTTCGTAGGCCCCCTTGGGAGCCCACTCGCTAAGTCCCCGACGTACTCGATGTCCACAATCGACACCAAATCGGATCGATCAGATCGAAGCGAACCTCCCATCCCGCGTGGTGCCCCCCTTCTCCGAGGGCTGCCCCGCCCCCCCCCCACTGGAGCCCCGAGCCCACTGGGCGCGGGCGCAGCGGGCAGCCCCGCGGCCGCTGCAGCAGCCGCTCCGGCCCGAGGCGGCCGAAGTACTGGAGACTGGAGCGGAGGTAGGCGATCAGCCTGCCCTCCAGGGAGGGGGGGGAGAGAGCAGGATTCATGCAGCGCGGAGGGTGCGCTGCGACAGACTTCTGACCTCTTCTTGCACGTCGTGCATCACACGAGTATCGTTTTTAACCGATCCCCAGCCCCAGCGGCGTGGCCTGGGCCCCACTGGCCGATTTACCCCCCTAGATGGGGATATAGGTCGTTCCCTTCGGGTTTCGAGGGGTGCATCCCCAACTGGGGGGGGGTAATTTGGTGGGGGTCTCGAAAGGGATGGGGATGGAGATGGGGGTCGGTTAAACGATACTGATCACGTTTTCCGTTGCCGCTTTACTCGGGCTGCTCCACCTGCGGGTAGTATCGTGGAGAGGCACGAGTTCTGCCACGATCTCTCGCAGGCACCGAAGGTGACCGCTAGGCCTGGGAGGGGTAGCTAAAAATGGAACACGGGGGGCCTTGCCCTCGCTCGGACGTACATGCCCCGTGCATGTCTCGGTGTCGTGCGTGTTTTTTGAAGGGCTCGATGATTCAGGATGCTCCTCGATGGCCCTCGCTGAAGAAAAAAACATCCGAGCGACGCCAAGGGGCAGGATCGATTGGCCACGTCGCTGAGGAGGGAGGGCCCCAAGGCTACCGTTAAGTCGGGCGTGTCCCCCTACTGGGGGATTTTGGGCGAAGAATAAAACAAAACTCAAACAATACCCCCCAAGCGAGGGGAACGACAAGGCCTCCAGCTCGCGGGCGGAGGGCACGGGCGAGCCCCGCCGGGGTGGAAAACCACACGCTGTGCTAGGATCGCCCGCCGCGAACCCTTAATATTAGGTCGGGCATGTCCCCCCATACAGGAGGACCCTGGCGAAAAACTTCGGAGCATCCAAATCATGATCAAACCTATATGTGTTAGAAGTCCCCATGTTCATGTTTCAACTATGTTCAAATATTCCTCTTGTAGAGGGACATGCCCGACTTAAGCCTAATACCCAAGACTGAGCCTGGCATGTCGTCAGGAGAACTGCTCAGGCAGACAGCTAAAACATCAGAGAGGCCTCTCGTAACTACAGGCGGTCCGAAGCATGAGGAGAGAAGACCATGACACCTGCTGGGCGGGTGGCAGTGGGGGGTGATCCAGATGAGGGGTGAACGAGAGGGCCGTGAAAGGGGGGCCCTTTAGGGCCCCTTTTGGATCCATCTCGTGCCCAACAGGAGCCCTGAAGGGTCCCATTAAGGCCTTTTTCTTCACCCCCCATGTGGATCGCCCCCCAATACCACCCGCCCGCCTCGAACAGCCTCAGGGGACTGGCCTCAGGCCGCGGGGGCCGTCAAGAGCCGACTCGGGCAGAACCGCCGATATGGATCGCCTGGCCGGAAGACTACCCTAGACCCTACCCAAGGGCCGAGGGTAGCATAGGGTAGGCCCTACCCAAGGGACCTAGGGCAGCCTAGGGTAGGCCCTGCCCAAGGGCCTCGGGCAGGGCAAGGGTAGGGCCTACCCAGGGACCTAGGGCAGGGCAAGGGTAGGGCCCACACAAGGGCCTAGGGTAGGGCCTACCCAAAGGCCCAACCTCTGCCTCTTCCTCCTCCTCCGCCTCCTCCTCCTCCTCCGCATCCTACTCCTCCCTCTCCTCCCTCCTCCCTCCTGCCTCCTGCCTTCTACCTCTTCCTCCTCTTCCTCCTCCCTCCCACTCCTCTTCTTCATTCCCCTTCTCCTCCTCCTCCTCCTCCTCCTCCTCCTCATCCTCATCCTCATCCTCATCCTCATCCTCATCCTCCTCCTCATCATCATCATCATCATCATCATCATCATCATCATCATCATCATCAGCATCAGCATCATCATCATCACGATCAGCAGTATCAGCATCAGCATCAGCATCCGCATCAGCATCATCATCCTCATCCTCATCCTCATCATCATCCTCATCATCATCATCATCAGCATCATCATCATCATCATCATCATCATCATCATCATCATGATCATCATCATCCTCATCATCATCATCATCATCATCAGCAGCAGCAGCAGCATCACCATCACCATCATCAGCATCATCCTATTCCTCCTCCTCCTCCTCCTCCTCCTACTCCCCATCCTGCCTCCTCCTCCTCCTGCACCCTCCTCCTCCTCCTCCTGCACCCTCCTCCTCCGCTCTCCTCCCTTCTCCCTCCTCCCCCTCTCCTCCTCCTCCTCCTCCTTCTCCTCCTTATCCGCCTCCTTCCTCTTCTTCCGCCTCCTCCTCGTCTTGTTCTTCCTCCTCCTCCTCCTCTTCCTCCTCCTCCTCCTCCCACGCCCCTTTTTTTGTTTCCTCCTCCTCCTCCTCCGCCTCCTGCTAGTCCCGTTCCTCCATTTCCCTCTCCCTCTCTCTTTTCTCCTGCTCGCGCGCGCGCTCTCTCTCTCTCTCTCTCTCTGTTTCTCTCTCTCTCTCTCTCTCCCTCTCTCTCGCCCTCTCGCTCCTGTCATCGGCGCGTGCGCGTTTCCCCACTACCCTGTGCAGGCGCCTACCTTGTGCAGACTCCCCTCAGTAGACCTCCCTCCTTAGTAGACCCCTTCTTTAAACCCCCCTTATGTAGACACCCCCTCTATAACCCCCCCCTCTTTAGACCCACCCTCTGTGTACCACCCATCTTTGAATCCCCCCTTTGTAGACCCTCTCAGTAGACCCCCCTCTGTAGGACCCGTGACTAAGGGCTGATGGCCAAGATGGGCCGAGAGGCAAGAGAAGACAGGGCGACCCTCGAAAACTACTCATGCTTATGATGATGCGGTTTGACGAGGGAGGCCCCCTAGATGGGATGGGGTCGGAGGATTGCACCGCATCGCCGATGTATCGCCGATGCATCGGCGATGCATCGGCGCCATCGGCGTGGAGATAATCGGGCTCCACATCGAGCCGCATCGCCGATGCATCGGCGATGCGGACATCCAGGAGGCCTAGATTGACCGTATCCCAGGGGCCCGTCTTTTTATCCCCTGGCGACAACGGCCGCTCCCCAGGAGGGCGAGGGGGGACGAAGGCGCTGGTAACGTCAAGACTCGCGCCGGCGCCGTCTGGGAATTCGCTTTAGGTCGGGCATGTCCTCCTGCAGGGAGATTTTGGACGGACAGAAAAGAAGTAAAACATGCTCAACGATATCAAACATCTTCCCTAAGGTATTTTTGTTTATATGTCTGAATATTCCTCCTGTAGAGGGACGTGCATGACTCAAGATTATCTGCCCCTGGCAATTCCCAAACGGCGCCGGCGCGAACCGTGACGTTACCAAAAGAGCGACGCTCAAAAGCGCGTCTTACGCGAGATGACGTAGCGTTAGGTCGGGCATGTCCCCCTACAGGCAAACTTTGGACGACAAATGAACAATACAGCCAACATATTCAAAAAAATGTCAAAAGTAATGATAACATTGAAAATTCGTCCCCAGACTACTTGTTTACTATTTTTGAGCATTCCTTCTGTAGAGGGACACGCCAGACTTAAACGTAGCGACCTTAGGCGGTGGCGTACGCTGGCCGCCGCCAGCGCGGCACGCTACATTCATTGGATCTACGAGGGCGCTTGCTTGCGCGACCTTGCACGAGGAGCTTGCGCGCCAGCGTCGGCGCAGTGGAATCCGTCTTTTTGCGTCGCTCAGGTGGGTGGAGGGGTGAGGGTCAGGTCGGGCATATCCCCCTACAGGCGGATTTTTGAAGGAAAAACAAACGATACGCCAAAAATACTCCCAAACAGTTAAAACATATTCAAAAAAGCGTCCCCAGACTATTTCTTATTATTTTTGAAGATTCCCTGTAAAGGGATGCGCCCGACTTAAGGCAAGGGGGGGAGACATCTCCGGTACCTGCCATTACAGTGGGGGTCCGGCCACGAGAAACCGTCCACAGGAAACCCAACCCTGAGATCCCAGGACGTTCATGGGCTGTTGGTGTCGGAACGTCACGCTGTCCATCGCAGAACTATCGAAACCCGAGAAACCCAGGGCACCCTGGAGGCAAGCACGGTGTTTCTTGGCATTGGGGGTCCACTCGTGGGAGGCCAAGAGGGGGGCGTCCAAGAGGGGGGGGGCAGGGACGTATTGAAACAAGAAGAGGCGCCATGAAATCTGGGGAGATATCATGGCCCCCGCCATGATATCCCCCCCCTTCGTCATAACCCCCCTCTTTGCCGCCCCCGACTTGAGGCAAGCAGGGCATTTCTTGGCATGGGCTTCCACTGTATCGCGAGTCGTAGAAAGCGCTCTGGGCCCACTGCCCCGCGGACCCCCCACCCCGCCCCGCCACGTGGCGCGCCCGAGGCTCCCCATGCTCTGCTGCTGCGCGGTGCCGGAGAAATGGAGGTAGGCGAAGGCAATGCGGCACATCGCCTGAGGGAGAGAGAGAGAGAGAGAGAGAGAGAGCAGGAGGTGGAGGAGGAGGAGGAGGAGGACGAGGAGGAGGAGGAGGCGGCGGAGGAGGAGGAGGAGGAGGAGGAGGAGGAGGAGAAGAAGGACGAGGAGAAGGAGGAGGAGGAGGAGGAGGAGAAGGAGGGGGAGGAGGAGGATGAGGAGGGGGGGAGGGGGAGAGGAAGGAGGGGGGGGGAGGAGGGGGGGAGGAGGGGGAGGAGGGGGAGGGGGGGAGGGGGCGGGGGGAGGGGGAGGGAGGGGAGGATGAGGGGGAGGAGGATGATGAGGAGGGGGAGGAGGAGGAGGAGGAGGAGGAGGAGGAGGAGGAGGAGGAGGAGGAGGAGGAGGAGGAGGAGGGGAGGAGGAGAGGAGGCGGAGGAGAACGAGGAGAACGAGGAGGAGCAGAAGGAGGAGGAGGAGCACGAGGAGGAGGAGGAGGAGGAAAAGGAGGAGGGGGAGGAGGAGGAGAAGGAGGAGGAGGAAGAGGAGGAAGAGGCGGAGGAGGAGGAGGAAGAGGAGGAGGAGAGCCGTGCGCCTTGGGAGATACACACAGGAGCGAAAGAGAGAGAGAGAGAGAGCGAGAGAGAGAGAGAGAGCGACAGAGAACTTGGACAGAGAGAGGGAGAGAGAGACAGAGGGAGAGAGAGAGAGAGAGAGAGAGGATGGTAGAGGCCCACTGGGGACCCTGCCGTGGCGCCGCCTGTGGGGGGGGGTCAACTTAGGCGTCCCGAAAAAGGTCTCGTCCGTCGGAGGGCTCTCCGCTAGGACCCCCCTGGGGAGTCTCCCGTTCGAGCGGGCATCCCCGTCCAACAACGCGCACCCATAGCCCCCGTCCGTCCCCCCTATGGGTATGGGCGTGTGTTGCTCGTTCGCCATTTCCGGCGCCAGAGGAGGAGGAGGAGGAGGAGGAGGAGGAGGAGGAGGAGGAGGAGGAAGAGGAGGAGGAGGAGGAACAGGAGGAGGAGGAGGAGGAGGGGGAGGGGAGAGGAGGAGGAGGAGAGGAGGAGGAGGAGGAGGAGGAGGGGAGGGAGGAGGAGGAGGAGGAGGAGGAGGAGGAGGAGGAGGATGAGGAGGAGAGTTTTTTTTCCGAGGAGGAGGGGGAGGAGGAAGAGGAGGAGGAGGAGGAGGACACATGAGGCTGTGGGCACCCAGCGGGAGCAGGTTCCCAGGCTCGGCCTGGCCCCCTGTCTCCCACGCGCTGGAGCCAACAGGCCTCGGATACGATCTGGCGCACGCACGTTCGCCCTCCCCCCAAACCGCGGGCGCCCACCCGTGGAGCCGCTCCCGGGCTCGACCTGACCCACCCAGTACCCCAGGGAGGGAGCACAACGGTACCGCGCTCGACGTGGCCTGTGCCGTCGAGGGGGCCCTCGCACGGGGGCCCCCTCTCGACTCCATAACGGTCCCCAGACTTTTGCTGGCCCCCGAAAACTGGGAGGGGAGGGGCGACGGGGGTCGATGCTCCAGCCGACCCTTCTTCACCAAAACCACCAAAAGGGGGGAACCCAATGAAAGGGCAGAAACTGCAAATTCTTAGCCCGTTTCCTTGTCCTGCGGGTGCCGAACAAACATGGAATGCGTCCACACCTTGCGGCCCGCACCTGGTTATTCGATACCGCCACGTTTTCTTCCCGCGCTATAGCAGCGACGGCCTAAACGAGTGCACAGGAACGAACCTTCTGAACAGTCAACACGCGGGCACTTATGGCCGTCAGCTGCGAAAGCGGAGGGGATGACCTCTAGCAGCCCCGGGCACCTACCAAGGCCAGGCCTCGCAGAATACACAGCAGAGGGGGCGGGCAGCGCGTCGGCGCAAGTAACCCTCAAGCCAACCTGACACTGCCAGTACTCAACCTGCCAAGCCGCATCGCGACATAAAAAATTCGCCGGCCCAACGGGCCAGAGGCGTGCTAAGATCTCCGGTAACTGGTTAACAATTGTATTGTACTAGTTCGCGCGCGCGGGGCGGCCCCTGGGGGTCCCCCGGCGAAAAGTACCCCGCCCGCCGCCTGACCAGGTCCCGCCCGGTTCAACTCAGAGATGGTTTTCCTTCTGGGTGCGGCCTCTCAGGCCGCCCTGAGCGCGCCAAGAGTGCCCCAAGAGGCCCCCAAGATTGCTCAAGAGGCCCCCGAGACGTTCAAAGAGCGCTCCAAGGCGCCGAAGATGACCCCAAGACGGCCCAAGAGACCCCCAAGACAGCCGAAGAGGCCTTCAAGACGCCCCAAGAGCCTTCCAAGAGGCCTCCGAAGAGAGCCCCAAGAGGCCAAAATCGTTGATTTTCATTGGTTTTTCCGATGTTTTTGGCGTTCTGGCTTTTTCGGCTTCCGGACGCTCCAAGACGACCCAAGAGGCGCCCAAGATCGCTCCAAGACGGCCCACGAAGCTCCCAAGACGGCCCCGAAACGGCCCAAGAGGGCCCCCAAGACGGCCCAAGTGCCGCCCAAGACGGACCAAGAGGCCCCAAGACGGGCCCAAGAGGGGCTCAAGAGGGGAACCGAGAACTGAAAAATCGAGCCCTCCGCCCCAGAAGGCGCCCAGGAGGCCCCAAAAAGGCCCCAAGAGGCCCCCAAGAGGCCCCCAAGACGCCCCAAGAGGCGCCCAAGAGGCCCAAAAGAGGCCCCAAGAGGCCCCAAAAAGGCCCCCAAGAGGCCGCAAAACTCGGCTAGCCCGCAACGGTGCGACAATATGGGCCGGCGGAATGAGCGAAGCGATTAAATTAGAACCTCATGGCGTGGGAACCAAAACGGCCGAGGAGGCCCCGAGGACGGCCCCAAAGGGAGGCCTAGAGGGGGAGCCCAAACGGACATGTCGAGCTCCCGCCCCGGAGACGCCCCCAAAAGTCCCTGAAAAGCGCCCAAGGCCCCCAGAGAACGCCAAAAGTTTCCGAGCAAAGCCCCCAACGGAGCCGCAACGACTTCGAAATGATGAAATTTCCAAGGCGCTGCTTTCCTCGAGCTGGACCATGGGGAAACATCATGCACTGCCCGCGCGTCGTCGAATGGCCGCGCGCCGCCCGCCCCTGCCGCTGAATCATGCAAAGCGCGCCGCGGAGGCGAAACCAACGCGGCCCCCGAGCCATGCCGTCGCGTGGCCTTTATGGAACTTATCGCATCGGTGACGTTTCGTCCCGCGGTCGTCGGGCACAGCGTCCGCGCGAATCTCGAAGCGCGCAGCCGTCGAAGTGCAGACGGAAACGGCGAGCGCGCGCAGCCGTCGAAATGCCGGGTGCTGTCCCGGCCGCGCGGCCGATCGCTTGCGCGGGAAGAACACCTCCCAAGCCGATTTAAGATGGAGCGCGCCGGCGCGGGACCGACTGACCACAAGGGCCACTGTGGAAGCCCCACATGAAGAAGAAACGCTCCAGCGCGAGCGCCGCGTGAGGAATTGGCAGGGCGCTGGAGGATGCTGAAGTGTCATGCCCGCGTAAGTCGGGCAAGCTCCGCGTCTGGGGAGTGGCGCTCGTGGAACCCACCGCGGGCGCGGGGGCCGCTGGCGCAGACCGTGCCGCAACCGCGGCGAGGGCCCGCTGCTCTCCCTTGGGGGCCGTGGCGCGCGGCTGCGCTGGCGGCTGAGAAGAAGGGCCTGGCGGCAAACGTCGCCGCGGGCGCGGCGGCGCAATCGCGAACCCGCTGCGCGAGGCAGCGCAGCCCGCCACGAGGACGCCCTCTCCAACTGAGCGGGGTCCCCGGGGGAGCCTCTGGCCCCCTCCCCGCCCCCCGCGCCGCCTTTCCGCGGCGCCCTCCTCCCCTCCCCCGTTCGGCCGCGATTTGGGATACTTTTTTGGCCCCGATTTTAACAACTTGCTTGGCCTCCCTTCCGCGGAAAAGCATTTCCGACCAAGATGTTTCAGCCATTAAATCAATAAGAAAAACACAATGTTCAACATCGTGGGTAGTTTCGTGGGGCCTTAAAGGGGGACGCAGACTCGTAGCCGAAAATCGCGGGCTAAATCTTGCCCGAAATTGTAAGCAGAATCGTGTGCGAAATTGCGGGCGAAATCGTGGCTGAAATCGTGGGCGAAATCGCGGGCGCAGAATCGCGGGCGTGCCTGGCGCGCGGGCATATTAAGCATGCGTACCCGCGCAACACCAGTGACGGTAAGGAAAAGAGGAAGAGGAGGGAGCGGCAGAGGCAACAGGAGGGCCAGCAACAACAGCGGGAAGAGAAAAGAAGAGGAAACATCAGCAGGAGAGGAGGAGAGAAGGACTCGGCGAAATTGGCCCGCCGACTCGTCGCGCGCCTCATAGCACACTGGACATGCTTCTCGGGGGAAACTCGCCAGCCCAACGGGCCAGAGGCGTGCGAAGATCTCCGGCGACTGCTTCACAGTAGCTCGACTTCGCGCGCGCGGGGCGGCTGGCCCCCAGACGCAAAGTACCCCGGTCAGGTCGGGCCACCGATTTTTTCCCATCTGGGCGCGGCACTCAGGCGCCCCAAAGCGATCCATCAGGGCCCCAAGAGGCGCACAAAGGCTCAGAGTCGTCGAGCGATCGGTCCCGGACACCCGCGATGGCTTCCAGGCGGCCCACGACGCGCACAATACCCTCGAGGAGGCCACCGCGAGCTGGAACGATACCCGAAAACGCGGTTCTGAACTTAAGAAAAACTGTAGCAGAGAAACGAAGCGGAAACAGACCGGAGGTGACACAATTCAGCCTGGCGAAGGACCCAACCATATGCACTTGTGAATACCGCAATTGTGAATACCATCTTCGCCCGCGCTCCCTATGTGGCCACGGCTCCCCGCTGGAGCCCGACATGCTCAGGAACACGTTCGTGGCCGTCTTCGCGGGCGCCGACGACGACAAGGGCGGCGTCCCTCTGACCGAAGAGCAGAAGCAGGAGAGTGCTTTGAGAGCCATGAGGGAGAAGGTGGCGTTGCACGTCGACAAGGCGGAGTACGACGCCCAGGCGGGGTTGTTGCAGCAGCACAACTATTGGGCCACGATCCTCGTGAGGGGTGTGCCGAAATGGCCCGAGGC